GGGCATCACTTTCTCCTGATCACTGGGTCGCCTCCTCCCCCTGAGGGCTCCCAGATGGTGAGAGGGGGCAGGTCGGGCTGAGGGACCCCTCTCCTCCAATGCATGAATTTTCATGCAACGGGGCCTCTAGTATAAAATAAGTGTGTACCTCTCCATTTTACTTTTAATCCAATCCTAGAAATTTCTCCTGCCTTGCTTTCTCCTGCCACCTTAACCTCCCACCAATGGATTTCATGTAGCTTTCCTTACATTTTACCCTTTGACTCTAAATGTATAAAGAGAAGTGCAAAACTGCCGTTCTCTGGAGCATTGTCTCAAGACTTTGAAATCTTGCTTCCAGGGTTTTTCTCAGTGTGATTCAAAAAAACTCCAATAAACTCATGTGAGATTTTTCTACAGGTTTGGACTTTCTATCATTGACACTTTACGAGTCTGTTTCTGCATCTAACAAAGGGGGATAATAATAACAGTGCTGCTCTAAGGATTAAATTAGATGATGTATGTGTGGGGCCAAGCACAGACATATAAAAAAGACTCAATAAATGTTAGTTGTTATAAACACAATGATCATGATTATTATTTGGACACTTCCAATGATCTAGCATAGTACCTTTTAGGTAGTAATGCCTCAATAAATATTTGTGTGAATTGTATACCAATGAAGGAATCATACACCAGTGCCTGAAATATGTAGTTTGACAGAGTAAATTGTCTTTCAGGTAAAACTTTAAAGTATTATACCTAGAGACTAATATACATGTTTTATCTTTACTTATAAAATTTCTTTCTAGAATGAGATTTGCAGCTCAACTGGGCTTCCAGCAGAAGCTCCCCTTCTGCCCCTAGAGCCCTGGATGATTTATTTGTTACCCTTCATAAGGACTCAGTGAAAAGCTAGCAGTGTTGTTTCTTTCTTTATTGGCTAGATAACTTACAGCATCTGCTACAGAAAGATATATTAATTTTTAACCTGCCAGATTTTCTTCCACAAAGCCATCAGCAGTGGAGGAGAGAAATTTGTTATCCATAACCCTGACAGCAATAAACAGTGCTTTAAATTCTCATTCTCTCTCTCTGTCTCTGTCTCTCTCTCTCTGTCTCTCTCTCTTACTAAGCTGATCAGTGTAAAGTGATATCATGGAAACCTTAGGCCTTAAATTAACACATTAGAATCAGGCTGATATAGAATCAAGTCTATCCTGTTCTGTTATCGGTGAAAGTGGGGTGTCAAGCAGTGGAAGTGGGGGATCCTCTTCCCCACTGGGTGCTCAGGATAGGGTCCTTATGATTTCTTGAGAAAAATAATTTTATGAGACTCCCATGGGAGGATGAGTGATTTTTATAATATTTGCATGGAATAACATCCTTGGGATTCAAAAGTCCCAAGTCCCTTAATCCAGTCCTGGAAGATGTGCAACTAGGGATTCAGCAGGGGTAGAAATGAAACTGGGTCCAGAGTGTGGAGATGGGCCCAGTGCAGCATCAGGCTAGTTGTAGTCCATTGGTTTATTGTGTGGGGTCCACATGGCTGTGGGCTATGTGGGCAAATGCAGGAGCATGAGAGTTGTAAGCCAGGAGCACAAACCAACCAAGAAAGAGAGAGAACTCCTTTGTTTAGGAGCTTATACATCTCAAATCTTCCCAAGATTGCAGTGGCCACACCTACTCTGCCCCATGGCCTGTTCCCAGGTACCTTCCCTATGTCAAGTACCTTCCTTATGTCATCCAGACATAGGGCAATCAGTCAGGCAGGTGAGCAGTTAGGGGCATCAGGCAGGAAGGCAGCGTGGGTAGGGGTGATCAAGCAGGCAGGCAGGCTAGTGGTTAGGAGCCAGCAGTCCCAGATTGCGAGAGGGATCTCCGACTGCCCATTTAGGGATCCCTGTGCTATTGGGCCTAAACTGGCAGTCAGACATCCCCCGAGGGGTCCCGGATTGTGAGAGGGCGCAGGCTGGGCTGAGGGAACCCCTCTCCAGTGCACAAATTTCATGCACCTGGCTTCTGGTATCCTATATAATAAAAGGGTAACATGCAAATTGACCAGAACAACCATTGAACCAGTCACTATGAGGCGCACTGACCACCTCTTGGTCCCGTTCCCTGGCCGGCAGGCTCCAATCGCCTGATGGCCACCCGCAGGGGGGCAGAGCCAGTGAATGGGTGGGAATAGCAGACCTCTTGGTCCCTTCCAGGTCGTCAGGCACCGATCACCCAATGGTGAATGGGGAATTGGGGGTGGGTGACAGCAGAGGACAGGGCCAGCTGTGGGCAGCTGGGGAAGATAGCCTTGATCACAGTCCAGGCCTTAGGATCGTATCCACACACGAGTTTCATGCACCAGGCCTCTAGTACTATATAAAAATTGTCCTTAGATCTTGCTACTCTTCAAAAGGGACTAGATAACATCCTATATTATAAAGAGGTAATATGAAAATTGACCATCACACCCTCACAAGATTGCTGCCTATGACCAGGCTGGCAGGGGGTTGATAAGAGACAACCAAACGACTGAACAGCAGGCTGCATGGGGTGACCAGACTGGCAGCGGGGCCGTAAGGGGCAACCAGGCCAGCGGGGGGGGGGCAGTTAGGGGCAAAAAGACTGGCAGGGGGGACAGTTAGTGGCAACCAGGCTGGTGGGGGGTACAGTTGGAGGGAACCAGGCCAGCAATGGGAGAAGTTGGGGGCAAAGGGGTGACTAGGCTGGCAGGGAGGACAGTTGGGGGTGACCTGGCTGGCAGTGGGGGGCAGTTAGGGACAACCAGGCCAGCAGGGGGGGGGCAATTAGAAGCGACCAGGCCAGCGGGGGTGGAGGGCAGTTAGGGCGATCAGGCAGGCAGGCAGGTGAGTGATTAGGAGCCAGCAGTCCAGGATTGTGAAAGGGATGTCCGACTGCTGGTTTAGGCCTGATCCCTGAGACATCTCTGAGGGATCCCGGATTGGAGAGGGTGCAGTCTGGGCTGAGGGGACCTCCCCCATGCACAAATATCATGCACCAGGTCTCTAGTTTGATATAAGAAAACACTGCTCCAGTACTTCAAGTGTGCTGCCTTTGCAATCTTCAGTGTAGCCCATCACCATGAAACCTTGTCATGAGCATCATTGCTTATCATAGTTCTGTAATGTACCCTTATAAAAAAATTCAAGTTTCTACTATTTTTTATTCTCTTCTGTTTATATCTATTTTTTTTTTTAGATTTTTATTCTTGGTTTACCAAGTATATTAATTTTCTCATCTAGTTCCTTTTGATCATTTTAATTTTAACATTTTTATTTACTTAACATTCAATTGTTTAAACATTTTTCTCAGGTCTAATTTTTTTTTTAACCATTATTACTTCTTATTTCCTTCCTCTCCTCTTTTAAATATTCTGATAGTTTTTGTCCCTTTTGATCTTACAGTTTTCTGATTTTACAACACATTTTCTTTTTTTATATACTTACTTTACAAATAGCAATCAGGAGATCTAGTTATAGAGACAGGCCACGCAGTTTGATGGGAAAAATAACAGAATTAATGTTGAAACCTAGCATTTAAGCCAGAGCAAATGGGCTTATTAAAACAGAAAAGACTGGGAGAGAAGTATGATGGAAGAGAAAAATAAAAGTTCTATCACCATCACTACATAATAAGGAAAAAATAATTTTAATGTCACAAATGTGAACAAATGCAGATATTTAAAAATGAATACTTTTAGTTTTCAAAAAAATTCACTATTTTTTTCTTTCTCATTTTTCAGTTAATCGATGACTTCTAGCATTTGAGAATACTTGCTGTAGATAATATAATATCCTAAATAGAGGGATTTATAGTCCAGGAAAACTCACTGTGGTACCCATATAGAGAATAGATTGAAAAAGGTGGAAGACAATGCCATTAGAATGAAACGTGTAGAGGTAGCCTACAATTTGATAAAGTGTGGGAGAAAACAATATACAAATCTAATAGGAAAGCTGCAGGTTGAGGAAATTTTATCTGATGTCCATCATGTAGAAGAAAGAAGCTTTTGCGCAGAGTGCAATGGTTCAGCATCCTTTTTTGGAGAAAAAGGTGATCATTTGATGAGTTCAAAATGGTACCTCGTTGTTTTAATAGGCATATTCAATCTTCTGAGCTTCAGAGGAAGCCTGTCTATTTAATATGTTGCCTTTACTTAGCATTAGGTTCAGTTGAGCATCACTCTGCAGACCACACTACTTTAAATACTTAGTTTAAATCAGAGTAAGCAAATAGTAGTAATTTGTAAATGAATTAGACACGTGTTAAATATTATCTTAAGGAGACCATGAGTTTCTCAAAGTTAAAAGTGCCTCTTTTTTTTTTTTTTTTTTTTGTACAAAGGTAGCCCTTTATTATGATTAAAAGAGCCAACGGACAGGGAGACCAACCCTTCAGGTCCCCCACTCTCAGGTTCTTCTCGGGCAAAACGGGTCAAGGATAATGCTTAGCATAGAACTTTTGAGGATGTCTAAAGACATAATGGATGTGTAAAGGAGAAGGGACTCTACCCTTGCGAGCTATCCTTAATCTCTCTCCTGTTCTTCCAGGATTGGGTGCACAGAGAAGGAACGAACTGTTTGTTGGTTGAATGAATGAGTGCATGAAGCAAGCCAAAGACCTTCTTTTGGAATTCCAGCCTTGGAAAGCACCGGTCTTTCAGAAGCTGTGATGTGGCCTGTCATTAAGGTTTTTATTTATTTATTTATTTATTTTTTAATGCACCTACTAAACTACAAATCCCAGTCGTCATCTGGAATCCTAGGCGTCCATAGACTCGCCAGGAAGGCGGAAGTCTAGCCGACTCGCCCAATCATGCCCGGGCAGCGGCTCCAGGATGGCCAATCATGACCCAGCTCGCTCGGCGCGCGGCACAGGCCCCGCCCCGCGCGCAGGGTTGACGAGTCGTTAGCGGATTAGGCGGCCGCGGGGGCGGGGCCAGAGGCCCCGGGCTGGGCCTCGCGCGGGGTTGGGCCCTCCTCGCTCTCGGCTCCGGCTCCACCATGGCTCCCAAAGGCGCCTCCTCCAAGCAGCAGTCCGAGGAGGACCTGCTCCTTCAGGATTTCAGCCGCAACCTCTCCGCCAAGTCCTCCGCGCTCTTCTTCGGGAACGCCTTCATCGTGTCCGCCATCCCCATCTGTGAGCGCCGGGGGCCGGCGGACCGGGCTGGGCGGGGACGTGGCAGGGGCCGGCGGCCGGCGAGGGAGCGCTGTGCCCCTCGGCTCCGGCTCTTCCCAGCTCGCCGGGAGCTCGGGGCAATCACGGTGCCCCCCGGGGGCCTCCGTGTTCCCGGCCGGGGTAGTGGGGGGCGGCCTCCCGGGAAAGTTGCTTGGGGCGCTTTGCAGAAGCGCGCCGGTTCCCGGGCCCCGGGCACGGACCCCGGATGCACCAGTGCTGGGCTCGCAGCCCCGAATCTGCACTGAAAGCATCGCCCCAGTGAAGATCTGATGCTGACTTTCCCGCATATAGTCCCCCCTCCTTTGCCATTATGAGACCTTAAACTTACAACATGACTTATTAGGGAGAAACTCATGCATTAAAGGGAGAGGGAGGTTCCTGGGAACTCTCGCTCTGAATTGAAAGTGTAGCTTTTCGGTGAATCGATGCACACAGGCCTGAGCATCGTTTTTTCCTAATTTGATGAGCTCCTTTAGGTCCAGGGCCAAGGGCCTGCGATTTTCTCTCTTGTTTAATTTTTTTTTTTTTTTTAACTATTCTATTAGGGCTGTTCTCACGTGGAAGAAAAAACTTTGCAGACTGGGCCAACGTTGTTTTTAGGGCTCAGGCTTCCCCGATCCTGCATTTCCTGTCGCTCACACCGCTGCCGCTCCGTTGCTGGGCGGTCAAATCTAGATTTGTCTTCTCTTGCAGCCTCGTAAACCCCAGTAAAAGTCAGGGTGCAGTGAACGCGGAGCCCCTGTGGCTCACTGGCTGCCCGGAGCAGGGCCTTGGCTTCAGACAGACAGCCACGTCAGCACGTAAACTATGGCTGAGGATTGCACGTGGCATTTGGGAATGGCCTGGATTTAGCTTAATAGCACCCCGACGAAAGAACTTTGAAGTCAGAATTGTTATTTTTGTGGAGCTGGAGTTCTCATACTAGGAGAAGCATATGGAAGGTTATCTTTTTCGAGTGTTCTGAAATGGGGCAGGCTTTGAAACTGTAACTTGTTCCTGGGTGTCCTACTTCTGAAGTTTGCATATTCTGGATTCCCTAACCCAGACTATATTTTACCAGCCTTACCTATAGTTTACAACTGGGTGGTAAAATTTTCTTTCTTTTTTTAATCCCCCCCCCCCCTTTTTTTTTTTAATCTTCAGGGTTATACTGGCGAATATGGCATATGGATCTTATTCAATCTGCTGTTCTGTACAGCGTGATGACCCTTGTAAGCACTTATTTGGTAGCCTTTGCCTACAAAAATGTGAAGTTTGTACTCAAGCACAAGTAAGTATATTTCTTAAGTGAAAGTGTGATGCATTTTTATATACTAGAGTGGCTTAAAGACCATTTATGTTTGTGTTGGTTTCAGTAAGCATTAATTTGAGATATATATATATATATATATATATATCTGTTTTGGGGCATATATTAATATTCATAACCTTAATGTTATGAAGAATTATTAACTTACTTGAAGCAGAGACAGTGCTTCTGACATTGCTATGAAAGTAAGTTTTGAGGGTAGAATTAGTCTGTAATCTTGGGGTTTAATCAGAAAAACAAAACCTACCAAGTAATTTAACATTTCCAAAGCAGCAAGAATTGTTTGTGGAAAGAATTGTTTTGGGCCCTCCGTGATCTATTTTTGGATGTGAACAAAGTGGCTTTGTTGTTATTAAACTAACGTTTTTAATGCTACCTAATTTTTTTTCTGTATATGAAAACTAATATTTTATGATCACACATACTATAAAATATATCATTTTAATTATAGCTTTTGGAGAAAACCCAAGCCACACAACTATAAATTTACACATTAATTATAAGCAACTAGAGGCTCAGCGCACAAAATTCGTGCACAGGGATGGGGGTGTGGGGGAGGATATCCCTCAGCTCAGCCTGCACCCTCTCCAATCTGGGACCCCTCAAGGGATGTCTGACTGTCCTCTCACAATCCAGGACTCCTGGCTCCCAACTGCTTGCCTGCCTACCAGCCTGATCACCCCCTAACCACTTCCATGCCAGCCTGATTGATGTCTAATTGCTCCCCTGCCAGCCTGTTTGCTCCCAACTTCCGTCCTCTGCTGACCTGATCACTCCTAACTGCCCTTCCTTGCAGGGTTGATCGCCCCCCCAACTGCCCTCCCTTGCAGGCCTTGTCTCTCCCAACTGCCCTCCCCTGCTTGCCTAATTGCCCACAACTGCCCTCCCTTGCAGGCCTGGTCCCTCTCAACTGCCCTCCCCTGCTGGCCATTTTGTACCCACATGGAGGAAAGATCTTTGACCACCTAGGGGCAGCCATCTTGTGTGTTGGAGTGATGGTCAATCTGCATATTACTCTTTTATTAGATAGAATAGAGGCCTGGTGCAGGGGTAGGGGCTGGCTGGTTTGCCCTGAAGGGTGTTCGGGATCAGGGTGGGGGTTCCCTTGGAGAATAGGGTGGCCTGGGTGAGGGGCCTGTGGTGGTTTTCAGGCTGGCCCTGCCTCCTGGTGACCCAAGCTGAGGCCCTGGTATCTGAGATTTATCTTCTATAATTGAAACTTTGTAGCCTAGAGTGGAGCCAAGCCTCCTGCTCACTCTGTGGCCACAGCCATTTCTGTTGAAATTTATGTATCTTCTATAATTGAAACTTTGTAGCCTAGAGTGAAGGCCTGAGCCGGTCAGGGCTGCAGAAACTTGGCTTCCTCCATCGCCCAGGGCAACCCTAGCCTCCTGCTCTCTCCAGCTCCGTGGTTGCCGCCATTCCTATTGGAATTTATTTACCTTCTATAATTGAAACTTTGTTCTCTTGAGTGGAGGCCTGGGCCCTCCAGGGTGTGTGGAAAGCTTGGCTTCCTTCATTTCCATCCAAGTCTCCCTTTTGCTCTCTGTGGTGGTAGCCATCTTGGTTGGGGTTAATTTGCATACTTGCTCCTGATTGGTTGGTGGTTGTGGCTTGTGAGTAGCAGAGTGATGGTTGATATGCATATTACTCTTTTATTAGATAGGATTATATACTCTGTTTCATAAAGGTTAAAGTGTGGGGGGAACAGTCAAAATTTAAGGAAAGGTGATATTTTTTATTCAGAGTGCTGTGGTGCTCAACATATATTTTTCACAAAGTAGGAGAAACTTATTAGCCATAAATATAGAAGAAAAAGTAAGAACTGATCACAAGCAACATAAAACACACAGTGCCACTATGAAAACATTTGACATGATATGGGGATGTATTAAAAGCAACAGGATGTAGAACAGAGAAAGAAATCTATTCACTTTATGTTCAATTAATGAATTCCCGGTGACTATGCTATTTAGTTCTGGTTAATGTACCAAGGAAAATTATACATTTAAGAGCAACAAAGCTGGGACAGAAACCCAGACTGTCAATTCTGAGCCAACTCCCCTCTACTACTTATACCTGTCCACACTCAGCATCTCCCCCTGAGCTTCCAGCCTTAACCTTCTTGCGTATCTATATGAGTTTCAATAGCAATGGTAGTATTTCATATTAAAGCAAAACTGTAACTAAAAAATAATTCCACCAAAACTGGTATGGCTGTTCTACATCCTGTTGCTTTTAAATCATCCTCGTATCATGTCAAATGTTTTCATAGTGGCACTGTGTGTTTTATGTTGCTTGTGATCAGTTCTTACTTTTTCTTCTATATTTATGGCTAATAAGTTGAATCTAAATGTCATAATTTTTGGGGAACTTTTTGTATTTTATCTTATAAAATTCACCATGTATATTTTTTGATGAGTATACATTTAATTTTTTCTTTAGCTGACTTGTCACTGAAGATTCTGATCTACTAATAGCGTGAATATCATTTCCAGCCTTTTCTGGCTGATTCCATATGATCTTTTTGTGCAAACCTCTTCCCAATGGTTCATTTAACTAAATGTGCTATGGTCGGTCTCTGACCATTTGGTATTATTTCTTTTTATTGAAATTTACTTGAGAGTAGAGTTAAAAGCATTACTTAGAGTTGTAATTCTTTTTTGTTTTGTTTTTAAGCCTAGTTTTCTCTCCTGTTATTTACTGGAATTAAAATCACCTATCATTTGCTAATGCCTTGTCAAATTTACTTATTGAACTGTAAATTATAGGCTCTAACAAAATGGATTTATAATTACTTATAACTAAATTGTGTTAGTAGCATTTGACTTCTGTTTCCATAATAAATACATAAGCTTTGGGAATTTCTCTCTCTTAAGCAGAAATCAGACTCATAACTAATAAACCACATCTTGAAAGTTTCTTGAACTCCTTCTCTTTTAACTAATACTACAGTGTAATAACCCTGGAACTTTCTGTACAGTTTATTTTCTGGAAATGTAAAGTATTATACAGTTGCCAATACAAAATCCGAGGACAGAGTGTTTCTGAGAGAGTAATGCCCACTCCTGCAGCATGTGGAAACTAACTTCTTCTCCTTCCAGAGTAGCACAGAAGAGGGAAGATGCTGTTTCCAAAGAAGTGACTCGAAAACTTTCTGAAGCTGATAATAGAAAGATGTCTCGGAAGGAAAAAGATGAAAGGTTTGACTCTTTGTTTAATGTGTTTGTGCTAACCAAAAAAGGAGGGGATACTTTGTAGAAGTTTTTGGTTTCTGCTCAGAGAATGTGGGTGTCAGAACTGTCTGAGGCAAACATTGGTATTATAGAAAAGATAGTAATGGGAATAACTGAATTTGAGTTTTTACTACTGCCTTTGAGCTGTAGACAGGTCATTTATTTCTCCCAAGAGTCCTAAGAAGGTAGGTACTGTTGTTATCTCCATTGTACACCTCAGGAAACAGGTAGAGAAAGCTTCAGTAACTTGATCAAGGCCTTACATTAGGGGGTGGTAAAGCCACGATAAGACCACAGGCAGTCTGGCTTGTGCTCATACCTGCTCTGCTGCAGAGCTTTGTCTGGTGCCACTTGATAGCTGTGTGACCTTGAACTTATCACCTAACCCCGCTGGGTCTGAAAAGTGTATATTGTTTTATGTGTTTGCATTCTTAGGTGGTGGTATTTCTGTTACTGAGCTTTCAGTCAGGGTTATCTGCTTTGGGAAAAAGAAAAGTTTGGCTCCTATTGCACAGTCCTGTGCCACATTTCTTGGTCCTGGCTCCCATCCCCAGTTTTAACTATCAACTGCTCTGAAAGGGGTTAACAGACAGTCTTAACATCTGAGCAACAGAAGTCTCTGAATGACTGAGTAGACTTGTGCTTCAGAGCTGCCAGATGGTCGAATAGAGTCATGAATTGAGGTTGTTTTCGTGGATCTTAAATTTTAGTATCTACAAAGTGGTTCGTGAAATGGAATTTTTATCCCACTTTGCTCCAGGAAGCCTTTGTGGGACTTGGGATATTAAAGTGTGTGTAAAACAGAGCAATGCAATTTTAAAAGATCGGAAGAAATTTGAAAAGTGGGTAAACAAGGACCTCAGAGTCAGTTAGAGCAGTTGAGCACTAAACTTAGCTCTGAGCGTCCCAGTGTCAGGGGAAGCATCTGAGGTCATGCTGCTTCCATTGTCCTGTGAGAAGCAGAGTGCCGGTCCTCCTGAAAAGAAACTTTCCTGGCACTGAATCCGGAAGGACTTTATCAAGTGGCTCCTTATTTAAGGGACACTGAGTAACTTAATGAACAGTGTTTTCTACAGTGGTTTTGGAAAGGCACCAAGTATTGAAGTGGTTATCTCCTATGGATCCTTTATAAAACTGAAGGCACAGTACTAAAATCATGACAGTGAAGGCCTTTCTACCCCCTTCTCCCCCTTCTCCCCCCCTCCCCGAGAATAGCTTTAATGAGGTCTAGCTGCATAGCTTTTTTTTTTTTTTTTTTTTAATGTTTTTATTGATTTTTAAAGAGAGAGCAAGGGAGAGGGATAGAGTTAGAAACATCAGTGAGAGAGAAACATCATCCATAGGCTACCTCCTACACACCCCCTACTGGGGATCGAGCTTGAAACCCAGTGCCCTGACTGGGAATTGAACCGGTGATCTCTTGGTTCATGGGTTAACTCTCAACCACTGAGCCATACCGGCTGGGCTAGTAGCTGCATAGCTTTCTGAATGCAATTTTTGCATAGAGATGGAGGTTAGAGAATTTAGAACACTTTTTTTAAAAACCCTTTTATTGAGTTATGATATTTACTGGAGGCCCAGTGCACAAAATTTGTGAGCATGTATGGTCCCTAGGCCTGGCCTGTGATCAGGGCCATCTTCCCCAGCTGCCGGCAGCCGGCCCCCCTTACCGGCAGCCGGCCCCCCTTACCGGCAGCCGGTTCCCCATTCACCATCGGGTGATCAGAGCCTGCCAGGTGGGGGCGGGAGGGTGGGAGGGGAAGAGACCAAGTGGTTGGCCATTCCTGCCCCTACTGCAGGTTGCCCTCTGTGGCTGGGGTTTCGGCCTGGCGCCACCAGTATCCCCCCCCCTCCCCCGGTTCCCCATTCATCATCGGGTGATTGGAGCCTGCCGACTGGCCTGGAAAAGGGACCAAGAGGTAGTCAGTGCACCTCATAGTGACTGGTGGAGCAGTTGGTCTGGCCGTTCCACCATTAGGGTCAATTTGCATATTATCCTTTTATTATATAGGGTTAGACAGTTTTTGTTTTTTTTTAATATATTTTATTGATTTTTTGCAGAGAGGAGAGAGGGATAGAGAGCTAGAAACGTCGATGAGAGAGAAACATCAACCAGCTGCCTCTTGCACACCCCCTACCGGGGATGCGCCCGCAATCAATGTACATGCCCTTGGCCGGAATCGAACCCGGGACCTTTCAGTCCGCAGACCGACGCTCTACCACTGAGCCAAACCGGTTTTGGCAGGGTTAGATAGTTTTTAAACTGGGTGCTTATACCCAGTTTCAAAATGCTTGTTAAATCTCTTGTAGGTTTCAGGTGATTTCACAAACCACTTTGTAGATAACATTGTTATATCAGATAGTAAGGGAGTCTCATATGCCCACTGCAGACTTGCCTGATTTGGTCTGCACTTGATCTTGAGATGTGTCTCAGAATTTTTCTCAGTGAGTGCTATTCAGTTAATCACGAATAATGAGTCAGAGTTGAAATTGAAAATGAAACCTCAGTGCCATTGGCTGGACCAGATATTTCAAAGGAGGATGAAGTGAAGTTTCATTGAGACATAAAATACAGAGTGTCAGAAGATTAAATTTCTATTCTTATTATCAGAAATTTGTGCTGTTATTGTTTTGTATTCCTCTCGCAAAAGCCACACTGGATACAGTTGTACCCGGGTCTGTATTCATGACTCACTCTGATATCTGGGACCATTTATATTCTAATATTTTTCTTCTTCAAAGGAGAGATTTGGTTTAAAAGAAAGCTTATCAGCACTTCTTTGCAGTGATGCATATCTGTCAAAGCTCCCTCTATAATCATTTGGAGTATGTACCATTTGCACTTTGAAACTGCACTGCCATCCATTCAAGGATGAAATTAGCAGAGGTGATCAGATTTACTAATATTTGCCCCAGGGTGTGAGTGTTATTTCTCCCTGACTTACCAATAGACCAATGATCTGTCATTTACCATGGTCTGATTGTAATACCGGTAGTTGAGTTTGGTATCAGCTTTCCTCTAGATTTCCTCACAGCGATGCTTTAGCAGAACCATTGCTAGTGAGGCCTCTTGGGAGTCCCACTTTTTTTTTCAAAATGAACCAGGATATGTGTAGACTAGAAAACGTTCTAAAAGCTGTCACACAGGGCTGACTATGTACACTGATGTAATGCACACAGATTTGGAAACTGGGGTAACCAGAAGTGAACTACTTCTTTCATCAAGGCTGTTTTGAAGATGTTTTTGATTCAGGGAGTTAGGAAGAAGTGCTGTGATGGAGGAGGATAATTAATCCTCCATAGCAAAGGCATGTTAGTAGCCTTTTTAAGGAACTTATCTTTATTCGGTCTTGTGCCAGAGTCTTAAAACCAGAGGCAGTTGTTCTGTTCTTTAAACCACACTGGGTCTATGCATCTTTCTGAGCTAATGTTTTCTTTGATCAATTAGTGTTAGAATGTTATAATGTATCTCCTCCCATTCCAAGTCATACATTTTTTACATTTAAATTTCTTTGAAATCAGGAGCTGTTTTATAGTTGATGGCTGCATTGAATATAATACCCTTCACTCTTCCAAACTTATAGTAAGTTGCAGATCTATTATGCTAAGAGTATCCACTGATTTAAGAAAACATGGTATATACTAGTATGTTAGAGGTTGCAAATTTCTTATGATGGAGATAAGGTGCTAATACTCTTCATGTAGCTCCTTCATGCTTGTTGAATTAGAACATTTAGTGAAAAAACATGGCAGCTTCCAATGACATTAGCCATAATGTTGTCCATAGGATCCATGGAAGGTATCATCTGGTTCATACATAGATCAAAGCTCAACCACTAATTCACACTAGTTGGGCAGAAAACTTACTTTACAATGAACTGGAGCTATGTGGTATTAAAAAAATTTTAAACATATGTATAAACTCAGTAGACGTGTTTCTGTGCCTACAGAATCTTGTGGAAGAAGAATGAAGTTGCTGATTATGAAGCTACAACATTTTCCATCTTCTATAACAACACCCTGTTCCTGGTCTTGGTTATTGTTGCGTCCTTCTTTATATTGAAGAACTTCAACCCCACCGTGTATCCTTTTAAAGGTTGATTATGTTTTTCAGAAGTCTAGAAATAGTTTGTTTTGGTTTCATATAGGGTTTATTAATAGCACTGTGACCTTAGGCACGTTTCTGAATATTTAAAATAAGGGCTTTTGGTTTGTTGAAAAATTCTTACAAGTTTATACATTAGGGCTTCATGGCAAGTAACTATAAATAGTCTCACATAGCCCTCCCCAGTGGATAGAGCATTGACCTGCGAACTGAAAGGTCCCAGGTTCGATTCCGGTCAAGGACACGTGCCCAGGTTGTGGGCTCGATCCCCCGTGGCAGACTTGCAGGAGGCAGCCAATCCATGATTCTCTCTCATCATGGTTGTTTCTTCCTCTCTGGAATCAATTAAAATACATATTTTTAAAAAAAGAATACTTTAAAAAAATAGTCTCACATATATGATTATGTACTAGTATACCCGCCTATTTAAAAAAAGAGTTCCAAGGAGGAAAAGCAAACTTGCTCTCTTTGATCGCTCTTGATGTAAGCCATGTGTCTTCTGATATTTTGGGCTTTGGGATTGGGTGCATAGCCAGTTTAAATAGGTACATTTCATAATATTTTAACAGTGTTTCAAGCTGCTCTTAAATTGAGCTTTTGGGCTAGAGTCAACCTTCTGCATTTATGAAAGGTGTTAAGGTAACTTATTAAAGCTGTTATCCAGGAATGTGCAACCAAATTTTTAACAGTTGGAGATTTTGACGTAATAAAATGTGACACCCTTCAACTTGTATCTTCCGGAGGTACAGACCGGTCCTGAGGCCAAGAGTAGCTGCAGACGTTCAGAACTCCTTACTTTTATAGGCCCACTGTGGCTGGTACACTGACGGAGAGGGAAGAAAGAACAAGAAGTCTCTTCCTGTAGTCGATCAGTTCTTCTGAAGGTTAAATGGGATTTGAGTGTTTCCTTTGTGGTCACGTAGTATTCTAGGTTTCTGTCTTAAGGGTTTTTAAATCTCCTGTGAATATTCTTTATAGTCTTGTAAATTGTGTTTACAGACAATGGGACCACATAGCATTGTCATTAGCCAGAGAGTCAGGAGGGAAGCAGTATATTCCAAAGAGATGGGCTTGTTTTGTTTTGTTGAAAATTAATTTTGGGTACTTAATTTTTCCTTAACATTAAATTCTTACAGGAACTATATTCTGTCCATAAGTGCTTCATCTGGTCTCATCGCCCTCCTGTCTACTGGCTCCAAATAGACCGTGTCAGCTTCTCCCGTGGCTTTGTATCTATGGGTGGTCTGTGGTGTATGGAAAAGTTGCTGGGTGGTCGGGGTGGGAGACAGAAGATGTTTTTATAGTCTGGAGCTTGAGGGTTTGAAAGACCCAACAAAATGTAATTCAATATTTGTTTATTGGCTCTTTTTTGACAAACTGTTGAAATTACATGAATTGAAAGGGAAACTCAGAGTACCAGGACATTTATTAAAAAGGCAAATGTGTCTGGTAATGTGCTATAATCACAAGAGGAGAAAATAACCTGCTTCCTTGATCTGTCAGGGGTCACAGTAACCTGGACTGAACTGTTAGTATTTGTTTTAGTAGCAAGAAGTTAATAGCTGGTTCTGTGTGTTCCAAGCACAATATTACAGCTTTTTGGGAACCATAAATATCAGAGTGAATCTTCTTTCCTCCCCTTCCCCCTGCCTGGGAGGTGGGATTGAATTGCATGTTTACAAATCTCTGAATATGTGATTTGAAATAGTAACTCAATTAAAGTTGAAAACATGGTTTTTCCAATTTGGGGAAAAGAAACTTGTGGAAAAGTTCTTTCTTTTCATCCTTTAAAAAAAAAAGAAAAAGAAAAAGGCATCCAAGGTAATAACCTAATAGTGCCCGGGAGGGAAGGAGGGAGGATGGAGATGGATGAGGGATGGGAGGGACACATGGTGTTGGGAAAATATAAAGAAAAAAATAAAAATAATGCTCAGGCATTAGAGAGTTGTCCTGTGGCGTTAAAGCACACTGCTCAGCTGTACAGCTTGGCCCTGGGCAGCCGCAGATGCTAATTTGACCCTCCCCGTGAGAGACTAGCATCATTGTTTTCTTAGAGTGGGTCTCTGCCACTGGAGGAGTGTTGAGTGAGAGAGAACCTCTCCTGAAAATGGACATAAAAGACCAAAGTAATTCTTGTGATCTTAGCTCCAGAATTTTAAGAGCATTCTAAGGAATTAAAGTGATGTTAGTGCTTGTCAGCATTTTCCTATTTTTACATTAATAAATTTGACCTTTAGACCACATGTTCCCATTGATTGGGAATAAAATATTGCTCTCTTCAGCCCTTGGGGGTCCAGCGGAGCGCAATCTCTTGCTTTTTTATTTTTTATTTTTATTAAGGTATTATATGTGTACATATTTTACCATTGCCCCCCCAACCCACTCTCATACATGCCCTCACACTCCCTCCCCAGCATTTTATGTCCATTGGTTATGCTTATATGAATATCTCTCGCATTTTTTAACCAGTGTGTGTACAGATAGTATAATTTTATATGTGTTTGGTGATTTGAAAAAGTTTGGGAAGCTCTGGAACCTGTATCACTGAAAGGTGGTGAAATCCCAGAGATAGTGGTTTCATATTCCTATTAGCTTTGACCACATCCAGTAATTTCTTATAGTACCTCAAAGGAAATACATTCCTAATTCCTAATCCTAACTTTAACCTTAGTTTTCACTTATAAATTAAGATGAATGTTGCAAATAGTACTTGCTGTTTTATTTGTAACTGTATAGAAGGGTATTCATTGGGAGTTCATTTTTCATTTCCATGCTGTTAGTGTCTCAGTAGGGCACATGCAAGCACTTGGAAGGAACACAGGGAGGAGTACACTTGAACAGTGACCCAGACCATCATTACCTTCAGTTGAGGATTATAATTCATCATTGCTTCTGGAAGTTTGCAGTTCTTTTCTTTGATGTGTTACTCATGTGTCATCACTGGATAGTACATAGTGAATGGGGATGCCAGAAGAGATTCACTGCCAGTAGTTAGTTTTATTTTGATGTTTTAAACTGGTTTGTTTTTTATAAACAACCAGTAAATATTTTGACAAGTGGCATGGAGTTTATGTACCAAATACATTTACTTGACAAAACGTCTCTTTGACACACTATCAGCATCTATTTGTTACCAGAACTGGGCCAAATTGTAAATCTTTTTAAATTGCAGGTGAAAAAATGCCACTAGATGGCAGTGCCTGTATTGATGGGGGAAGAATTGCCGCTATTGGAATAAGGCAATCTATTATAGTTAAAATGGGGTGGTGAAATAGGGGCATCGGTTTAGAGTTGCTCTTGAATTAACAATCAAAATAGTTTGTAGAAATGTAAGTACTTAAGCAAAATTTGATTTTTGTTCGGACTTTTTCCTATGGCACCGTATTTTTCATCCTGATGATTTCAAACTTCCTTATATTAGATAAATTTTTGTGCACGAGTTTATAGACATACTTACCATTCCACAGTTTTATGCAAGTTATCAATACTCTGCTCTTGCAAATTCCCCAGTCCTGTCCCCATCATCTGAAATGGCTATGTGACACACAGAATTACAATGAGCTAATAAATCTGGGTTAGTTAGTAAAAACTTGCTGAAGAATTTTTATCTCAAAAGACCCTCAGAGCTAGTAAAATAAAGGGTTTTGTTGTAATTGGGATATAAAGTGATTAAGTCCCTTTTTTCACACCCCTTGTAATAATTAGAGGCTTAAACTCTTGGGACATTTGGCATTTCCCTATTTTTAGTTTCTTCATTTACAACTTAATAAAAACCTTGACTTGAAATTATTCTTGGACAGTAAAAATATACTGGTGGTTCCATTTGATAAATTATTCTAATTTAGAAAGGATAATTTGAAACAAGTTTTAAAGGTAACTGAAATATGGAGGTTGGATTCATATCTAAAATTCTTGTAAAAGGTCTTGCTAAGTAAAGGTCATTAAGATTTGCTTTTTAAAATTTATATTTTCCCTAGACTCTTAAAAGAACCATGTGGCTAAGCACATCATCTTTAGTACAATGTCTTACATTACTCATTATTTAAATTTCCTACACTTGTCAATGCATTTTATAGTCACTGCTCAGATATGTGTGTGGCAGTGACTGGCACAGTGCAGTTCTGTTACAGAGAGAATGCCAGGCCTCTCTGCCAGCATGTGCCTGCTGTGCTATCCTGCCCACCTTGTTTCAGTGTTTTCAGTATTTGTGCCAGTTATGCTGTTTCAGGAGACGCAATAGAAGGATATATATAGGCATGTACATATATTGAGAGAACCAATTTATTAATACATGTTCTGGGCTGGAAGGGATTATCTTTTGCCTGCTTGGATTCCCAAGCAGGGACATTGAAGATTAGAAGTGGTGTTTAAGTGGTTGGTTTAAATTTTCATGGAGGTGTTAAACACTACTTATTGGCCTTCATGAGTTTTAATTGTATCTCTTCTTTGACCTTTCTCCATCTTAACTGAATTTGGATTCATACCCAAGCTTTGTTTTGTTTTTACTTTAAAAATTCACACACAGTTACTTTTTATTAATACAAAGCTTTAAAGCCAAAAAAGAAAATTGTACCTAACAACACTGAACAAAATAACTTGCCTGGTTCTGCCATCAACCAGCAGTGTGAGTTTGGGCAAAACCTTCTATCTTTCCAGGCTTGGTTTCCTCATTTGCCCAGGAGGGATGGTCTTGAAGATGGCCTGCTATCTATCTTAATGATAGCTCTGCTATCTTCTGCACACCCTTGGCATGCTTAATGACGATGAAGTGACAGTTCGTAAAGTGAGAAGTTAGGCACAGGGTTTCTACTTTTCATTTCCCTTGGCTGAGATTTTAGTATGGCTGCTACCCAGGTTACTCTTAGGAATGGTATGTTCTCTCCTAAGGAATTCTTTCCAAAATAGAAAATACAATGAGAATGCATGGAAATTTTTTTTAAGGATACAATTATGAAATAAATTTCTTATCTAGTATATTTACCATAGCAGATGGCTTGCATATAAAAAAAGTTAGCTGTCCCCACAGGCAATAATGTTTATATTTGTTGTTGGGGTTTTTTTGTTTGTTTTTTTATATATATTTTATTGATTTTTTTACAGAGAGGAAGAGAGAGGGATAGAGAGCCAGAAACATCGATGATAGAGAAACATCAATCAGCTGCCTCCTGCACACCCCCTACCGGAAACGTGCCGGCAACCAAGGCACATGCCCTTGACCGGAATCGAACCCGGGACCTTTCAGTCCGCAGGCCGACGCTCTATCTACTGAGCCAAACCGGTTTCACTTGTTGTTGGGTTTTTTAATTCATCTTTATTGTTGAAAGTATTACAGATATCCCCCTTTTTTCCCATGGACTTCCTTTACCCCATATCTGCACCCCTCTCTGGCCTTCACCACATTGTTGTCTGTGTCCATGGGTTATGCATATATGCCTATGAGTTCCCTGGTTAATATCTTCCTCACCCTGTCCCTAGCCCCACCTTCCCTTTTGAGATTTGACAGTCTGTCCGTGCTTCTGTGTCTCTGGATCTGTTTTGTTCATTAGATTCCATAAATAAATGAGATCATGTGATACTTGTCTTTCTCTGACAGGCTTATTTTGCTTAATTTGCAGGCTCTTTTAAATGAGTTTGAGAAGCTTTAACCTTCAGTGTGGAGTATTTCTGAAACCAAATGAGAAATGATATCTTTAGTAACTAATCATTTGCTCCATTAATAAGAAAAGTATGAATTGCAGTTCAAATCTTAATCACTGCTGTTTCTGTTAGGTATCACTCAATGCAGCTTACCTGCCAACATCATTTTTATTAACTGAATCTTAATGCCTGTTTGGTTTTTGTTTTTTTTAGCGATCTATCTATCTATATCCATCCTTATAGTTAAAGAAAGTTCAGATAAAAACTAATTGTGAGATTAAATGCACAAAATGCTTTTATTACTTTATGCAAATTAAGTTGAATTTCGGTTTGAATTAGACAACTTCAGTACATTTATACATACAGTAAGTATTCATTGGATTGATTGAATGTACAATGAACAATAAAAAATGATCCATTCCCATTTTTGATATTCTGGGGCAAAAACCCAAACTATTTCCTTAATTGAATACAGGTAGTAGTAATCAAAAAGGAAATTTCTTGGTATTTCACATTAACATCTTGAGATTTAGAACTTAACCGTGAAATTACCTGGAAATGATGGCAAAAAATAGCATTTGAAGCTGATAATATGTTTGTCTTTTAAGTCTCAATGATTTCTAGTATATATTGGGACCAGCTGGCCAGAAAACTAAATTAGAATTTTGTGCATGCTCAGGTGTTCAAATAGAGTTATAGGACCATAACCCCCAACACACACCCCAAAAAAGAGGGGTGGGGGAATGCCTTTCTTACAGGTACACACAATATATTCTCAAAATTGTTCTCAAGTGGAGTACTCATGAGGGTAGGTAGCCAATAGTGGCAGGAGTAGATAGGCCTCAGCTTCCGAATACATTAAAGCAAGGCCCCTTTAACTCATGCAGTGAGCTTTCATGCATATGGTTGAGTGCACATTACGTGATTATAGATTCAGGAAATTCTTTAACATTTGTTTTTCATTGGGCAAGTTAATTCACCCAGCATATGCTGAGTAGTAACAACATTTTTCACAAAGCCCATGATTTACTTTGATGTTACTAACTCTTCAAAAACACAAGCTTTCTATTGTAAAATCGCAGTGCTAATTAAACAGCAAACATTTGCCTTTGTGGATATTTTACAGGTTTACTTACAAAAATCAAGCATGTGTATATTTATTTTTAAAGCTTAAATATTTAAACTTGCAGAAGTTGTGCCTACAAGCAGTCAAAAATATAAAGCATGTTTTCATAAAATGTAGTAAAAAATGAACACTTTGTAAAATGTAATGCAGGTGCATTACATTTTATCCAAAGCTAAGCTTCCATAATGGCTAAGCTTCCATAATGATGTAATAGTGTAATCTTCACTTGCATACATTTACCATAAGGTCTCTAATTAGAGACTGGGTGTTCATCCTTTTACTATCTTTATGTGTAAATGAGTAGAGCATTATTAGAATTCTAAGACACTTTGGATAAATTGCTACACAAGGTCATTTTTGGGGCCAAGCAACACTGAATATTTAAAAGGTAACAAAAACAAATACCTAGGAATTTTGTTGAAAATGATAAAGGAAGCAGCTTAATATCATCTGGAATGTGAAAATAGGAAACATGTAAAATTGCTTTTGCTTATTTTCCTAAGCAGGACTTCTGAATTAACATAGCCTCTTCTTTCTCACACAATCCTCATTGTATCTGAATTTTGTTCATTTGAAAAAACAGATCTATCTGTGTAGCCTTCTTTAAGTTATATGCCTGAAGGTAATACTCCTTTCCCTGCCATATGCTTTCCATTGCATTAGCATGAAGTGTACAGAGCAATGCAAGAATAGGTTACTCCAGTCCACGATAAGAAAATAGAATGGATTTTCTTAGTTGTGAGTTTTCAGATGTGCTCATAATTCAGGTGCACAGTGGTGGCGACAGCAGACACCTCAGAATCCGGGGACACTAGAGGTTGAGCAGCGGCTGCTAAGTGATTTAAAAGACTGGCTAGGAACACCTTTCTGTACCGGTATAGACCGATATTTGAACCATGCAGCTCCTGTGGCTCATGCATTCGTTGCCTTATGATCTGTAGTCCTTTTTGCTGTAGGGCTTGTTGCGTAATATGTTATCAATCTCATTTACCACGTGTGATGTCATCTTTGGGAGAACCTGAGAGCATAAGTACAAAGGATGTAGTTAGTACTTGAAATTTTTCCTTTCTGCTCACTATTAGGCAGAGTTGTCTAGACTGGTGTACGTTTCAGAACCACCACTGCAAAGTCCTCCTCACCAGACCCTAAGCTCCTTGAGGTCAGGGACCTTGGTTTGTTCACTGTATCTCCAGTGTCCCTAAGAGTGATTGGCCCATAGTTAGTGCTCACAATTATCAGTCGGCTGGATAAATGATATAAATGAAGGCTAACAGAAATGTATAATTCCCACAGTAGTTCTGCCCAGTAGCAATATAATGCGAGCCACATAACGTGACTTTAGATTTCCAGTGGCCACATTAATAAAAATGAAAAGAAACGTGAAATCAATACCCGATTTTACTCCATTATAGCCAAAACACCGTTTCAGTATGTAGCCAGTAGAGAAAATTCTTAAGACGCGTTGCATATTTTTAAAGTACTACGTTTTTCTAATCTGCGTTTTATGCTTACTCCGCATTTGGACTAGTCACCTTGCATACGCCAAAGAAGGACATGTGGCTAGAGGCTACGGCACCGGGCCGCACAGTTTGAGAGTAGGAGGATTCTTGACCATTGGTGGTCCGCACCCTGGTGAAGGATGGCCAGGAGTTAGCAGGCATCCTGAGTGGATGGCATAGCATGAAAAAGTGAAAAGTTTGAGAAATGGAGTGATACAAGTGCGAGTGGTGGAGGTATGGGGGTGGTAGGAACAGGAGAAACAGACATTGGGGTAAAGGGGGCAGAAGGCCTTGCATATCTTTTTTTGGGGAGGTGAAGGGGACTTTATTCAGTAGACATTGGGGAACCTCTCAGGACCTGTTAGCTGGGAGTGAACCTAAGAGACACCTAGTGGTGATTTGAAGGATGAGTTAGAGAAGATTGAAAGGACACAGATGTTAGAAATTCATTGTCCTGTGCAGTGACACAGAGCCTTAACTCAGATAGGGGCAGTGGAGGAGAAAAGGAGTGTGGATCTGGGGCATTTTGGAGGATGGTGGTGGTTTCCAGACCCATGACTAGAAATGTATGATGTGAATTATCGAGATTGGCGTTCCCGGGAGGAGACGTTTGGAGTAGGATGTGTTGAGTTCAGGGTGTCCGTGGGAGACCCATGTGGAAATGATTTGCAGGCAGCGAAAGGGCAGCAGTGGAGCTTGCTTGCAAGTAGAGAGACCAGAGTTGAGGATTTGTGAGTCATCTCCATGGATATGCTAATTAAAGCCCCGGAAAAGAATGACGTCATCCAGGGCCCGCATTCATTGTGAGAAGTGGGCCAAGGACACACATTACTCCACAAGTCCAGGGACAAAGGCAGACTTTCACAGGAATAGCCTGACCCTGTGTCGAGACTGATGAAATACAGTTGTGGCAGCCAGTTCTGAGGGTTCGGCCTCGCCCTTCCTCGGCTGCAAGCCTATTGGCCAGGGTGACCTTGTCTTCACTCAGAAGCTTCCTCAGGTCCCAAAGTGTCTGGCAGAAGAGCAGAGCTACTCAACCTGGAAAACTGGTTCTCATTAATGTTTTTCTCAAGCTGAAGGAAGAGTTTGACTTCCCACCAGTTCCGGCATCTCTAAACTAATGTGTTCTTTAAAGTGAGATTGCAAACTAGCCGAAACAGTGGATAGAGAGTCGGCCTGCAGACTGAAAGGTCCTAGGTTCGATTCCAGTCAAGGACATGTACCTTGGTTGCGGGCACATCCACAGTGGGGGGTGTGCAGGAGGCAGCTGATGGATGATTCTCTCATCAATGTTTCTGACTCTCCCTCTCTTCCTCTCTGTAAAAATAATCAATAATATATATATATATATATATATATATATTCATCTAGAATCTGCGTTTGTTGGAAGTTTTATGCTAAAATATAGTGGGCTAGCCATGTGAGGAAAAAAATGCTTCATTATGCCAAGATAAATTTCAGATAAGAGATTTAAAACCCCCAAACCATAAAAGTACTTGAATAAAACATGAAAAAAATATATATGTTGTGTTGCAAGGTCTAAATTTTCAAGAGGAACCATGCATCCAGAGTCTTATGTGAAACTGCCCAGTTTTTTAAAAATGTTGACAGCTATTTTAAAACATTTCCACCTACAGTTACACAAGCATCCCACAGCCTGCCTGCCAATTTTGCAACCTTGTTGTTAGACTGCCTGGGATAATTGGTGGGTGAGGGGCGGTCTGGTTAGTGTTGCCGGGCCTGGTGGGGTGTTAGGGAATTCCTCCCAGAGCTGGGTCACTGTTGAGTGAGACCTGGGCGATTTGGGCTGGTGGGTGGTGGACACTGGCAGGCAGAGGACCAGTGTTCCTTCAGTGGCTCATGGTGGCTGGAGATTTGGATTCCGGGGAAGATGAGCCCTGGATGGGAAGGGCCACTGAACTGCTCAGATTGGGTGACAGGCACCTCGAGTGCTTTAAGGCTGGTGCGGTGGAAGGGGGAGAGGCAACTCCACTTTTCAGGTAGAATTGGGGGAGATGGGAGCCTGTGCAGAAGATGGTGGCCGCCTGCAGCTGTGGTTTCTCCTCTCCAGTCTCCCATCTCTTGATGCTCTGGTGTAGATGTGCCCTCTAGTGTATGCACATTTAACAATACGTACATATCCCTTGGAGCAGCTGCCTTGCTGGGCCCACTAGAAATTTCCTTGTCTTCCACCTGCTTGCACTGCAGCTTTCTGTCCGGCACCCAATTCCTCCACGGCTGAGAACCCCCAGCCACCCAGCTTACTTCCCACTCCATGGAAGGGTCCAATCACAGCTCGCCTGGGGCAAATTCTTAGCTGCTGGGCTGGCGGGAGTAGAAAGGGGGATGGTGGACCTGAGGGGGCAGCCTCCCTGCTTGGGTAGCTTCCCTTTTCTCTTACCCTCGGAGCATGGGTGATGCATCTTGCTACCAGCCAGAGCCTTGCTGGGGAGGAGGTGCTTTGGGAAGATGATGGACTGTTTTCCTCTGAAATGCACCCTCAGCTACCTGGAGTGCTCCGGCAGCCCAGGCTTGGCGTCTCTACCATCCCAGGCATGTTGACTCCCCGTGGTGGCAGCATTTACAATGTGGTAGCATTACAGGAATCCTCAGGACCCTCTCTCTTCTTGCCAGGCTGTCAGCAAGTCCTGTCTCTATTTCCAAATCCTATAGAATCCACCCACTTTACCTCCACAGCCACCATCCTAGCTAGTCCAGACCACGTCACCTGGACAACTGCCCTTTCCCACACAGCATCAGGACGAATGAATTTAGACATTCAAATATCAGCATGTCCTTCCTCTTAAAACCCCCAAATGACCCATTCCATGTAGAACAAAACTCTGTGTCCTGTGATCGGACCTCTGCCTGATTCGCCACGTCAGTACTCCCTCTGTCCTGCTCACTGCACGTTGGCCACACGGCCTAGGTTGGCAGTTCCTTGGGGCCTTTACACTTCTCCTCCCTGTGTGTGGAGGCTCCTCCCTGAGTCTGGAGGCTCCTCCCTGTGTCTGGAATGTTCCTTGTGTCTGTCTGGAATGCTCCTCCCTGTCTGGAATGCTCCTTCCTGGGCTTTCCCATGCTGTGTCTCCATCTTCCAGGCTTCAGAACGCACGGAACCCAGAGGGCCTTGGCAAGGACAGTGGTTAAAGTGGGTGCACCCATTTCTCACGTAGTCTCTTATTACAACACCCTCCTCACTCACTGGTCCTCCTCACAGTTGCAATTATGCTCTTGTTGTGTGCCTCTCCCACTAGAGTGTAATATCCCCGAAAGCTGGGCAGTATCAGTGCCTGCCTGGCCACGCAGGCTCCCAGAGGTCTGTTGAGTGAATCAGAGAGAGGTTGCCTTGTTCACGCTCAGCCAGTCCCTGGGCCCAGAAGGACAGAGTCCTGTTCTTTGCCCAGGACTCTGCTGGGCGTGGTGCTCAATGCCTATTAGTGGAATTGAAATCACTGGACGGAGTTCCAGTTCTCTCTGTGTACAGACTGTCCCCTATTTCCTTATGGCTGTGTAGCCTTTATCTCCCCACTCCCCCCAGCCCCAGCACAAGTGTAAAGAAGACACGGTGGGGGGCTTTCACAAGAGGAAGGCTTCCCATGCAATGAAGGAGAACCCCCAGAATCCGGGAGGAACTGTGGGGCTCAGAGGGTTCTGTGAAGCAGAGGCGGATGATGACAAGGCTGCACACCCCTAAGAAAGGTGCCGGTGGGGAAGTCCACCCCCTTTATCCCCAGCGTATTCTGGGCTTTTTGAAGGGTGTTTTTTTTTTGTTGTTTTTTTTTTAATTATTGATTTCAGAGATGAAGGGTTAGATAGAAACATCAATGATGAGAGAGAATCATTGATTGGCTGCCTCCTGCACACCCCCTATTGAGGATCGAGCCTACAACCTGGGCATCTGCCGTTGGCCGGAATCAAACCTGGGACCCTGAGCCAAACTGGCTAGGGCTTTTTTTTTTTTTTTTTTTTTTTAATTAAGTTTAATCAGATTGGTCCCTACCTTCACCTGTTTCTTTTGGGAGAGGTAATGGGGTGACAAGTGCTTGCTTCACGGATTGGTGGATGGGGAATAAGCTGTGATAGTTCTGTTCCCCAGTGAGCAAAAGGAAGACACCTGTTTGGCAGGTGGTGGCCATGGCAAGTCATGGGCAGGCACCTTCCTGGGGCCTCAGCAGGGCTGAGAGGGGAGGAGGCCATGGCCTGAAATGTGCCCTTAGTGGGAGGAGGATGGTCCCACCAGCCACTAAGCCCCACCCCTCTCCTCAGAGAGAATTCCCAGGAACACCTCTGCCACCCCCTCCTACTGCCCCAGCAGGCTCCCCAGAGTACACTGCAGGCTCCATCCAGTGCCTGGGGCCTTAGGCAATCCACCCAGTAGGGAGGGGGGACGGGCACCCCTGAATTTGCTGCCAGGGAGGTGTGATCCTGGAAGTCCAGACTAGAATGCTGATCCTGATTCACCACATTTGCTCAACAGGTGTTTGTTGAGTGTTACTAGGAACCGGAAATCCATGAGAAGCAAGAAAGACGGAGACAGGTCCCTGACCTCAGGAGTTTACAGTCCAGTAGGGAGGACCAGCAATTACACTATGTCATCACAGGTGCCGAGATGGGAGCGGGAATTCAGCCGCTGCGAGGGCTTGGCACACTAGGTTGGCAGTAAATGTGCAGGAAGGACAAACAGGACATGTCCGGGGGCTACTACATTTCAAGCAGGTTATTAGGCTGCATTTATTGCCAGACGTGGGAACCCAGGTTGTCACATGGCTTGGATCTTGGAATGCCTTGTCTCACAGAAACCAGCCATCGTGAGAAATGAGGTCTGAGAATAGTGCCTGCTAACAGAAGAGGATGCTTCTGGATTTATGTCTACAACAGTTCTCTTACCTCTTGTACCTTTGTGTGTGTCATCCTCCCCACCCTCCACCCCCCCATCCATCCCTCCCTCCCCAATCTAGGAATAAGTAGCCTGTTAGGGACTTCCATGCAACTGGAATCGATGGCATGAAGGACAGAGCTGGGAGAGAGGGGACACTGCCCAGGGTCATCATCACTGACAGCACGAGGTCCCCGGAGGAGTTTGTGGGAAAGGCCTGTGGCACTTGCCTGAATGGCACCGAGGTTCTCGATGAGCTGTTCGGGAGTGGAGGACCCCAGCAGCACGGAGCTCACACCCTCGTTCCGCAGGCACCATGCTGGGAGGAGAGAACACAGTCAGGACATCAAAGCCCTTCTGAAGACCTTGAACACCCCCCCCTGCAGCCACCATTGCTGCACCAAAACGGACTGACTTTTGTGGGGAGGATAGACAGTGTACTTGCTTCAGGATTACAATCGTCAGCAGCACCTTGGCCGTGGAGAGGATTTGGTACATGAGCTTTGCCCTGACGACTGGGGCACCCAATCCAGCTACTCACCCAGCTACACACTCTTGTTCCTGAAAATACCTGGCCCTGCTCCCTGGCTGACGTCTGGGTTCCTGTTTCCACAGTGGCCCACAGCCTCCTGCCTGTCCACCTTTTCAGGCTCTCTCTTCCCTCTGTGGCTGGAGTCCTTGTAGACTTTGAGTGTCTGGTTCCTTTATTTCCACCTACTATCAACCCTCTCTGCAACCTTCCTTCCTAACACCATGTTCATCCTGTGTTTCTTATCTCACCAACCCCCAAATCCCTCACTCCTCTCCTTCCTCTGCCTATCTAGATACTTCTACCTTTAAACCTTCTCAGCCCTGTCTGTCACTCTCAGCAGATGACCTGGCCTCTGGCTTTATGGAAAACAGTCATCAGGTGGGTTATTCCTGAATTCCCCACTCTCCCTTGGACACAGTACACATCCGCATCCTCCAGTTCAGAGGATGCCATGTGCTGTTTAATAACTCTGAAGCCAGACTCTACCCTGGATCTGTCTCTCTTTGCCCTTTCTTGGACTTCATTCATTCTCATTCATTCATTCTCTCTCCCCCTCTTCCTCTCTCCCTCTTCCTCTCTCTTTCTCCTGGATTTATTTCATACTATCTTCTTTTCTCTCACCAAAATGTGCTTAAATTTCTCCCATTCTAAAATAAGCTTCCTCCAACTCTTCATACTTGCCTAGCTACTGCCCCATCCTCCCTTTAAATTTCTGAAAGGCAATATTTAATATATATATATATATATATATATATATATATATGGAAGATAGAGGGAGAGAGAAAAACAGCAATGATGAGAGAACCCTGATAACAGAGACCATGTTATTTTTATTTTAAACTTTATTGGGGTGATTTCTGCAGTCCAAAAATTTTACCTATTTTGTGTACAATTAAATAATTTTTGGTAAATGTATCAAGTGTGCAACCATCACCATTTGAGATCCCATTTTAGAAGATCTCCATGACCCCAATAAGCTCCTTCATGCCCATTTACGAAATTAATCCCATTCCTACAGCCAACCCTAGGAAACCACTAATCTCCTTTGCACCCTGCAGATTTATTGTTTCAGGACATTTCATGTAAACAGAATTAACGCAATGTAGGCTTGTATCTGATTCTCTCACTTAGCAGGTTTGAGAGGTTCCTCCGTGTCACAGCATGCTCTCAGGGTATCATTCTTTTTTCTCGCTGAACAGCAGCGCATTGCATGGATGCAGAGACCGCAGTGGAGGATCACTGCTCTGGTCCAGCTATCTGCTGTCCTCAGGCCCTCACCATCTTCTGCAAGGGCCTTTTGCTCCTCTCGCTTGGATTGCCCCCTGTCTCCCACCTCCCTTTACCCACACCTCCATCCCTTCCCCTCTCATTTGGCACAGTTTCTCCAGCTACAGACCTGACCATGTCACTTGCCTGGCTAAACCTTCTTGCCTGACGTGATCCTTGTCCTACACGATGAATTCTCTCTTCTCACCTGGCAAACCTTGCTGTCTAGCCCAGCTCCAGCTCATGTCCTCTCATTTCCTGCCTTGAACTTTGTGCTTCAGGAGCACAGAGCCGTTTGTAAATCCTCTTCAGCCCCTTGGCTCCAACTGCTCCTTGGCCTGGAATTTCCCTTTGCCTCCTCCCTTCCTTTGCCTCATGAATATCTACTTACTCATCACTTGAGATTCCCCATGGGAGCTACCTCCTCACAGAATCCTTCCCTGAGTCCAAGGTTTGGTCAGGAGCCTCTACGTTACTTAAGCCCCTGGGCCCTTCCCAATTATTTTACAACACTGCATTACAGTGAGCTGTTTACTTCCTGACTTGCCCATCAGCCTGTGAAATGTGTTTTATTTGTGGTTGGATGCTCAGCATTCAGCTCAGGACCTTCACATAGTAGGTGCTTCATAAATGTTTGTTGAATAAACAGACATGAATGATTGATGGATGGAAGAAGGTCCAAGCACTTTTTCTGCCCCTTTTGCTCAAGGTCTGCTGTCAACTAATAATCTTAAACTGTTACCATGCTCAGGCCTTTTAAGGCAATCACTAAATCTTACCATATGGGCAAAATAATGTTCCATAAAGGCAACAAGTCAAATGATTCAGGGCTTTTTCTTTCTTTTCTTTTTTCTTTCTTTTGGCAGTATTATTTCCTGCTTTGCACTTATAACTCTTTTTGAAAGGTCTGAGGGCAAAGCAGGGCCCAGGGAAAATCACTGCCCATAAACTACGTGGTGTCAGCAACAGCCAACTCTCCACTCTGGGAAGCAGGGTGCAGGGGAGCCCACTGGGCAGGACTGCCTAGCAGCAGAGGTAACACATGCAGATGATGCGAATGATTTATCGTCTAAGCAAATGCCCCCGAGCAGGCAATCCCAGTGCCTCTTTACCAGCAAAAGCTGTGAGTGCAGCTCTTGTGCAGGCAAATTACTAGTTGATAGCGCCCACGGTTGGGTTCAAGTAGTTTGTTTCCTGCTCAAGGATTTCCCCTCCCCATACCCTTCTAGCAGATGAAAGGTAATATGCCTGGAAGTAATTCCTCTCTTGGTTTGAGAGTTCTGTGGTTAAAAACAAAACTACTGCTTATTAAAGAATGAAAAAACAAAACAAAACAAAAAGGACAGGCAAGATAGATAGCTAGGGGCACAGAGAGGGAGGAAAAGGAAAATCAAGGCATGTTTTAATTAAAATTTAGACTCTAGAGGATTTTTGGTGTGCATCTAACATCCAGTGAAAGCCTAAATCTTGTAAAAATCTCTTGAGAAAGACAATGTTCCATCTCTTTCAGAGCTAAATTCATTTTCACGTTATTACTTCCTAAAAACCACATTTATGACTATTTCAAGAATGGGTGTTTCTCTTTGTGCCTATTACTTTGCCCATAGGCCATGGCTAAGGGTAGACAGTTTCAGGTGCAGGGTGTCTAATTCTTTGCAAAAAAACCCCAACACAAACATCATTATTATCATCATCATCATCATCATCATCACTACCATGTTTCCCCGAAAATAAGACATCCTCCGAAAATAAGACCTAGCGCATGGAAAGATGACATCCCCTGAAAATAAGACCTAGTGCAACTTTGGGAGAAAAAATTAATATAAGACACTGTTTTATTTTTGGGGAAACAGGGTACTACTACAAAGAGCACTTACTCTTTGCTTTGCATATGTAATTATCCTTTACTCAAGTAGTTTGTAAGATACGTATTTTATGCCCATTTTACAGATGAGAAAATTGATAGCAGGTTAAATAACTTGTTGATGATCAAATAGCTAATACTTTTGACTATGTCCATTAAAGCTGCCGGGGTGCTAACTAATCCCATTGCTTTGTTGTAGTTTGAAAAGATTAAAGCAACAGTTACTTATACTTAGGTAAAGGGTATTCTTCCCACCCACCTAGACCACCTTCCATTTTCATCTTTCTATGACAGTTAACTGCAACTCCATTTTCCAACCTCAGAAGGATCAACCCTCTAACAAACATTCTATCACCTTATTTTATTTGCCTAGAATTTATCTAGAGCTTTTTATCTCATTGGGTCATTGTATCTGATTTATCTTAATTCCTGCTATTTCTTAATCCTTTCGATTTTTTTTTCTAGATTATACACCTATTTTATTATTTTCCCACAATGGTAGATAGGCCAAAGGCCTCAAAGGTCTGGGCCATTCTTACTAAATGCTATTCTTGCAGACCAGTTGTAAACAGGATGAGTTTGATAGGATCCCACCCCAAAAAGTGTAGCCAACTGCAATCAATATGATTGACCAAATGGTGTATATAAGCAATGGCTAAGCCTCCCTTCGGGGAGACAGATTTGGATATGAATCCTGTCTTCTTTACTTGCTGCAAGTAAATAAAACTATCTTGTGACAACATGTCTCATTCTTGAACAGAGCACCCCAAGTGGTGAACTCTTAGAATGTAGTAATAACAGCTATCACATGAATTCTTTTATCTTCAGTTTCTTCATTTGTAAAGTGGAGATAATAGCAAATACTCCACTAACGTCTGTGAGATAGGGCTTGTAATGTCATGTATTTCATCAGATTGTTTGGACCATTAAGGGGACAAGACAGTGGCAGCAAGTGCTTATCACAAAGCCTGGCAAATATTCCCAGCAAGGGAACTGGAAGTCTAAATGCTTTTCTGTCCAACACCCAGCCACATGGGCCTATTGAACACATGAGATGTGGGTAACCTGACTGAGGTGTCCTGTAGGTGTAAAATACAGTTTGGATTTTTGAAGACTTACTATGAAAAACGTGCAAAAGACCTCAATAACTTTTATATTTACTACATGTTAAAATGATCATATGTTGTCTATATTGGGATAAAGAAAATCTAGTAGTATAATTAATTTACTTGTTTCCATTTTCCTTTTGAATATGGCCACTAGAACATTGAAAATTTTAAGTGTGTGGTTCATATTGAAATTCTATTGGATGTGGCTGGTGGGTGTGGTTTTCAGTTGTTACCAGTGACCATGACCTTTCAGCCACTTCACAGGTTAGAGGGGTTTTCCTGGACCCTCAGGAGGTTCAGGGGAAGCTGCTGCCCTAGGGTGGGCCTTCCATGTGGCCGTGGCCTTGGGCTCTGTGGCAGCCCTTTCTCAGCCTCTCACCCCCCTCGCCTAAGCTTTGACAGGGATTGCAAAGTGAGCCAGAAGAAATGGATGTCCCTGTCTCACTCAGAGGGCTCTCACCCCCGGCCCTGAGGATATATACCTTTTCACCTGTTCTCACTTGAGCTGGGTTATAAGGGAGAGGAAAAGGGAGGAAGAACAGTGTTTTAGCACGTAGAAAATTCTGGGGTACTCTGAAAACCTCATTTTAGACAGTGCTAACCAGGAATGTATGCTCCTGACATCAGTCTGCCCTACAACAGATATTGTATCATCATAGGGATGTGGATCACACAGAGAAAACGATATTTTCTGGGCCCTGGCGGGGCCCTCTCCCCAGCAATTGTCTTACCAACAGCGAGCTGAGGGAGCGTGCAGCCCAGCCGCTCAGCGATTGGAGAGAGGTCTTTTAACTTGTTCTGCTGTTTTCTCCCTTCTTCGCTCACAATTCTTTCTTTCAACCACTGGTAGCACTGGGAATAAAAAGAACATTTAAGTGGCAATGTCCGGCAAGGGTTTGATGTCCAAGATTGCTAATTCAGTGAAATATAAGAACCTCATCAGGAATTCATCTCCTTCACTCTGAACTTTATATTTTGTGGTGACAGGATGCTTACCAGTTCATGCAAATAAATGTTCCTCATGGTCTCACTCCTTATTTATTGGTTAAAACAGGTTACTTAAAACTTATATTTTTTCATGGATTTCAGAGAAGAGGAAGGGAGTGGATAGAGAGACAGAAGCATCGATGAGAGACAAACATCAATTGGCTGCCTCCTGCTGAAACCTGGACATGTGTCCAACAGGGGTTCAATTGGGGACCTCTTGGTTCATGAGTCAATGATCAACCACTGAGCCATACCGGCTGGCCAAAACAGATTACTTTTGACTAAATCACCACTGAAATCATCAACATGCACAAAAGTTGTTGAAATCTTGACCTAATCAATAACATCCAATTTGCATAGTGGGAGAAATGATGTTTCTTATTGAGCCCAATTTTATAATGCAGCAAAAGGAAAAAAAAAAAAAGCATTTACATTTCACCAATGTCTATTATGCTTCCTTTTTGTCAAGAAAGCTGGCACCAAGCTTTCTGGTCAAAGAAAGCCATTAGCTTACATTCTTGTAATAACTAGCTTTCTTCCTCTTGCCTTCTATTTACTCCCATTTTTGTGTTCTTATAATGGGGCTCTATTGTTGGCTTGCTCGCTCCTTCCCAAAATAGACATGGTATAACTGACAGGAACCAAGCACATTTAGAAAATTGTCAAGTGGATAAATATTTCCTAAATGTCTAGTACCTTTTCTGTAATGAAACTTAGGTAAGGAAACTCAAAATGAGAAACTGTTCTGTAAAACCTATGAGATTTGACTGACTCTTATCTGTAGATTATAAAGCAAGCCTTAATCTATATACATAAAAGGCTAATATGCAAAGTGTCCCCTCGGGAGTTCAACTGGGAGACCGAGAGTTCGATTACTCGTTATGATGTGCGCTGACCACCAGGGGATGATGCAGAACGAAGGAAGGCCGCAGCCAGAAGGAAGGCCCCGGCCAGCATCAAGAAGGCCCCAATCATCTCTGATCATCGGCCAGGCCTAGGGCCCTACCTGTGCATGAATTTCATGTACTGGGCCTCTAGTTCCTATATAAGGAGAAAAATCCCTCGGAACTTCTCAATGGCCTACTTCCCAGAGGGTTCTGCTTACTATTACATAGGGAACAATAGACTCTTCTGTACAAAGCTGCTACGTTGCAACATCGAAGGAAAAGAATATTTGTAAGAGTCTGTTAAGTCTGTGTTAGTGAAAATAATAAAAACCATCCCACTGGGTGGCCATGTGGACTTTCTCCATCGTGTGTTATTTGTGACACAGTTGCCACCACAGACCGTTGCCTTCCCAAAGGCGGCAGCAGGAAGCTGTGCAACTGTCACAGACACTCCACCCACATGATTTCCACTGGCAGCTGGCGTTTGTTTTTTGTTTTTTGTTTGTTTTTTAAGTTATTATTCTGAGACAGTATTTCCAAAAAGAATAACCACGTTATGCTTCTAGAATGAAAGTTAGGACTTTGGGGAATGATTTTGCAGATGTGAAAGAGAGGGCAAGCCATCTCTCATTCTGTTCGCCTCCTACATCTCTAAGGCGTATGGTCTGGCTCCTCACTTAAGACTTTGCTCGGGGTGATGGCCAAGAGTTTTCACAGCCTCAGCTTCTTCCAGGAGGAAGGGTGGCCTGGCGACCACAGCTGGTGCTGGTGGTGGTGACGTGGGCAGTTACGACAATGAGCATGCGCCTGGAGCCCAGCAGCCTTCCCTGAGCAGCAAGCTGGGTACATCAGAGAGCACAGCTTGCTTTTGCTCTCCTCACTGGAAAAACATCACCATTCCCCACTTCCATAACATCTTTCAGGGACCAGTAGATATCCCCAAATATTATTCACATTTAGGTAAGGTTGAAGACCAATGGCCAAATGTTTTTTGGGTTTTTTTTTTTTTTAACAATTACTCTTTATTATTACTAAGAGAGTTCCTGAGGTTTCAATATATCCTACACACAAAGTATGGTTGGTTTATTTATCAATCTATTGAAATCCACTTTCCAGATCATATGTGCAATGCATTTTGACTCCTAGGTTTGGATTACAAGTTACACACTACATGAGTATATGGGCATACACACCATGGTGAGAAGCAGACTTCTAAAAGTTACAAATATCAGATATTCATTTATCGAATCTCTCTCCTCACCCTCAACTATACTCTCATTGTTATCTTAATCATTGGAAAGCAAGCAGGTTAAATTTTTTTAAAATGTAGATGCATAGGCATTTAAACTCGGTGTGGGCAGGGCTTGGGTGCCTCAGGGCCAGCCCCAGGGTCAGTGGGCATCTCCTGCTTTCCCTGCGTTGCTGTTGCAGTTCTGGAGTGGCCTACTCGAAAAGAGCCTGGGGCTGCTCATGGCCAAGTTTGTGTAGCTGCTGCAGCAGGCGCAGGATGGTGTGCTGGACCTCAAGGCAGCTGCAGATACTTTGGCTGTGAGGCAGAAAAGAAGAATTTATATTGCAACGCTTTGGAAGGCATTGACTTGATTGAGAAAATGTCCAAACACAGCATCCAGTGAAGAGGTGTGGGCTCTGGCTGCAACACTATGGAAGTCCTGGAGAGAAGAGAGCTCAGGTCGAGGACCTGGACCTGAAGGAAAGGGACTGGATCAACAGAAGTCCTGGCTGCAGCAGAGCATGGGAAATGTGATGGATGACGCCATCAACAGCAGGTTTTCTACATGACTCACGAGGACATCAGCAATTGCTTCCACAGCGACACGCTGTTGGCCATCCAGGCACCTGCTGGCACGCAGCTGGAGGTCCCTCTTTCCGAAATGGGTCAGAATGGACCCAAGGACCAGGTCAATCTAAAGATTCACTTGGGCCCCATCCACATGTTGCTTATAAAGAGTCCAGTTGGCTCAGCCTGTGGTTTTTCCTGTTCCCCCACCAGATAACCTCACACACACGCCTCCCCTCCTCCCCCTTAGCCTTCAACTTTTTCCTTCCTACTCAGACTCTGCATAAGCCCAGTCCCGCCCCACCGAGCCCCCCAGGGCAGCCTGCCTCCAAGAGAGCCCTGGCCTCCAGCACCCCCCGGCCATAGACTTGGCTTCAGGATATATTACTGGAGAAATCATTGATGAGCTGATGTCTTCTGACGTTTCCTCTCCTGCGGCTCTCCCCTACCCCCCTGCGGACGACTACAACTTTAATTGAGATGACAGTGAAGGAGTGTGTAACCTGTCTGATGTCCAGATACTAAATTATTAGACTCCTAGGACAGTTATCTACCGCTAACTGAAACCTTGTAGACCTGCTAATAACCTGAGAATTTATAATGAGCTGTTTAGGTCGCTGATTCTGATGTCTCCTTCCCTAATACTTGCTCTCTGACTTCACAAAACATCCACTGTGAAAACAAAGGGCCCGAAGCCCCTGGAGTGAGTGCATTCGGGGACTTCAACTTCCCTTCCAATTCTAACTACTGTTTTTACTCTTTTTTTTTTTTTTAATCAATCTTTATTGTTCATATTATTACAAAGGTTCCTCATTTCTTCCCCCCTCCACCAGGTTCCCACCCCACCCTCAACCCCCTCCCCATCCCCCATTGTCCTCATCCATAGGTGCACAGTTTATGTTCAGTCTCTTCTTCCCTTCCTTTCCCCAATAGTAAATCCCTTTTCAGATAGTAAATCAGTTACTTAGCATTTTCTCATATCAATAATACCTCCACATGCCCAATGATACACTTCACACAAAAGACATTTCCCAATAGGTCAACTAGCCTCATCCAGGCCCCACCCAAGGCACCCAAAGATCAACACCCCAGCCCTATACTAACTCAACACATCCAGATCTAAGCCTTCATCACTTGATTCAGCAGACCTTCAAGTTCCCGCGAAAGTTTCCAGCCATGTCTGAGAGGCAGCCGTGGGCAGGGACAGGCGAGAAGCGAGCTGTTCCGGGCCTGGCTGCTCAGGGCCTGGCCTCTGTTGCTCTGGTTCGTTCCACAACCAGCTGCTCCGGGTCTGGTCACTGCCACTCCCGACCTAGTTGCTCTGGACTTGGCTGCTGCTGCTCCGGGCCCGGCTGCTCCCAGCCTGGCAGCTGCTGCTCTGGGCCTGGCCACACCCGACCCAGCTGCTCCGGGCCTGGCCGCACCCGACCCAGCTGCTCTGGGCCCGGCTGCCCCGGGCCCGGCCGCTCTAAGCCTGGCCACTCCCGGCTTAGATGCTCTGGGCTTGGCTACTGAGCTGGACACAGAATGGACATTCAGGAGATATTTCCAAAGGCTTTTCTCCACAGATTAGTGGGCTATTGCTTTTCTATATAAATCACAATATTCTCTAAAGTTTTCCTAAAGCCCATTACTTGGTTGCCTGCCAATTGTTATCTGTGTGTCTCCACTTTATAGGTAACTAAAGGCCTGATGCACGAAATTCGTGCAAGAGGCTGGGTCCTCACAGCCACAGCAGCTTGCCTCAGCCCTCCCAGCCCTGGTTTCATCCAGAAGATCATTCAGCTGTTCAGTCTAATTAGAATATTATGTGTTTTTTTTAATTATAGACTAGAGGCCAGATGCATGAAATTCGTGCAGGGAGTGTGTCCCTCAGCCCAGTCACTGTTTCCAATCTGTGACCCCTTGAGGGCAGTCAGGCATCCCCCTCACAATCCAGGGCTATTGGCTCCCAACTGCTTGCCTGTCTGCCTGCCTGTTACCACTAAGTACTTCTGCTTGCCAGCCTGATCACCCCCTAACCACTTCCCTGCCAGCCTGATCAACATCCAACTGTTCCCCTGTCAGCTGGTCACCCCTAACTGCTTTTTCTTGCTGGCCTGATCACCCCCCAACTGCCCTCCCCTGCTGGCCATCTTGTGGTGGCTATCTTGTGTCCACATGGGGGTGGCCATCTTATGTCTTGTGAAGGTCAATTTGCATATTACTCTTTTATTAGATAGGATGGTACTGGAGTGGGAACAGACTGAGAGACTGGCCCCATGGAGCCCCCAATTCCCTGTTAATAATCCCTGGTTGGAATTCAGGCAGCAACCATAGAGCCATGGACAGAACCAGTCACATTTCACCTCTGGACTTTGTCTACAGTAATTTGCCACCCAAGATTATCGACTCTTTCTTTCTTTCTTTCTTTCTTTCTTTCTTTCTTTCTTTCTTTCTTTCTTTCTTTCTTTCTTTCTTTCTTTCTAAAGTATATTTTATTGATTTTGTACAGAGAGGAAGGGAGAAAGATAGAAAGCTAGAAACATCGATAAGAGAGAGTCATTGATCAGCTGCCTCTTGCACACCCCCTACTGAGGATATGCCCGCAACCAAGTTACATACCTTTGACCAGAATCGATCCTGGGACCTTTCAGCCTGCAGGCCAAGGCTCTATCCACTGAGCCAAACCTGTTTCGGCTTTGTTGACCTTCTATTGCATTCACTCAACAAGCATTTATTGAGTATCTACAGTGTGCCAGGCTCTGTGATGAGTTACATAAGTAAATTTCTGTGTCTTTCCTAGAAGTATTTACAAATTACTGGTAAGTTGAGAAGTGTTTTATAGATGGGGTGTCCCCCTCAGGGCTATGTTTGATAATACCCAACAAGGGAGGAGGATGTGAGCTCATCACAGCACCTTATCTTTTTTGCCACTATCATTGAACTAACAGGTTCAATGACCCAAGCTTCACAAGCCTTTTCTTGTCTGAAGCTGATAAAAAGAAAAGATCTCTCTTCCCTTGGGTTACATGGCTTTAAAGATATAAGCCTGCAATCACTAGCTTTCTTGCCCCTGGCCACATGGAGAAGACCTATTTGCAGTAGAAGAAAATGATACCCCTTATGCAGAAAGAAATAGAGAAAAAAGAGAGTCCTGACACTGTGCAAGTCTAGGGATGGAGTCACCCCTGAGACCATCTTCCCTCTTCCTTTCCAAGGAATGTTGTCTATGTGTTGCCCTTAGTTGATTAAATTAGTTTGAATTTCATCCTATTGCTTGCTACCAGATAATTCTAAGCCTCTGTAAGAATATTTAGGGGGATAATATGGAGGAAGATGCATATAATTCAGTTTTATAAAGTGAGGACAGGCTTCACAGAGGGGAAGACAGACAACCAAGCTTTGTCCTTCGAGATGAGGAGAGCTTTCACAGCAGGATAAAAGGAAGGGCATTTCTGGGAGGCAAGAGTCCAGTGCATTTGGGTAGAAAATGAGCTAATGTGATTTAGGGAGGGGCAAGAACAAAAAAATGAGCCCAACTTAGATCCCGAGAGGATTTCCTTCAATGCTTTCCTGTCGGGTTTGGGTTTTGTCCCTTAAGCAATGATTGGAAAGTCTTTAAAGGATTGTAAGCAGGGTTATCTTATGGTCAGATTAATTTTTAGAAAGATAATTGGTCACAGTGGTGGGTAATTGAGAAGAGGGGGGAAATCAGAGAATCCAGACAGGCTACTACAGCAAACCAGGTATGAAACAATCTGAACAAGGGCTGTGCAGGGGATGGACTATAGAAGGTCAAGGTGTGGACTAGAGGAGTGGCTGCCCCTTTGGACAAAAGTGAGGGAGGAGAGGAGGCAGCGAGAAAAAGCCTTGGTTTCTGACTAAGATGACTAGGTGGCTGGGTGGAGGGCTGTTAATCAAGAAGGAAGGGCAGGTTCTGGGGAGTGAGGATGGATTCCATTAGGATTACTGCAGCCTCCCAGAATCCCCTGGGCTAGTATTACTTTCTAAAAGACAGGTATTTTTAATACAAGGTTAATTTATTCCTTAAACATAGTTCAATATTTACAACAGACACAGAATATTAACATTTTTATTTTATTTGTGTATCTTACAATAGCCATTGTGAAACACCATTATTTTTTTTTTCTATTTTTGAAGGGGAGGGGTGGGTATGTGAAAGTTGCCAACTCATTTATCAAATTGCCTAGCTCTCTAGCTCTAATTATTATTTTTTCACTATTAGCGTTCTCATTCACTTCTAAGATTATCCTGATGCTTTCTTTTTCTTTTTCCTTTCTTTAGTTACTGTACTCAAGTGGCTTTCCTAAGTGCACATGTATCCGTCCGAGAAAAACTCAGACTGATGACTTAAGGAGGCGTCAACGGTCTTCAGCACTAAAAACATCTGCTTTATGATTGGTTGCCTTTTACCTGTTGAGAGCCCTCACTGTTTATTGTTAAGGATGTTTCAAGGAAGATGTTGAGTTGTTTTTCTAAAGGTCAAAAATAGAAGTCTTTTCTGACTTGTGTTTTGGGTTTAGCCACCTTCAAATATATTGTATTATATCTCCCTCGGCCCCTCTTTTTTTTCTTTCTTTCTTTTCCTTTTTTTTCTCCTTTTGTTACTGTATTTGTGAAAGCTTTTTCAGGTCTCTATAAGCTTTTCCCAAGCAATGATGGAGGTTAACCCAGCATACAATTCAAAGACAGGGTAACTACTATCTTCCTTTGGGGGAGATAACGCGAGGGTCAGGAGACCTGGGTTCTTGTAACAACTTTCTCTATTAGGAGTTTTTGCTCTTGGATTGGGAGCTAACGTCTTTGTGCTCAGTTTCTACCTCTGGAAAATGTCCCATAGTCTGAGAACAAATACCTGGCATTCATGTGGAAGTATTTTGAGCTTTTCAAAAAGCCTCTGAAAAGAATGCAAGGCAACATGCTTAGCCATAACTGACTAAAAGTCATCTGTATACATGTATCTTTGTGAGGGTAAAAGGAGAGGAATAAAAACTCCTAGCCCAGTGTTTGGCACATAGTAGGTGCTCAGAAAAATTTCAATTTTCAATGCTTCCCTTCCCTTTTCACTCTCTTCTTGCCTTTCCACTAAAATGCTTTTAGTTTTTCTTTGCTGACTTATTCAGACTTGGCTCAGAACAATCTTTAATTTACAGAAGCACGGCCATATTTAATATTCTAGAATATTGATATGTGTGATCATGCAAACCTAGAAGCAGGACAATGTCACCATGCTTATATTGTATTATTTTAGAAAACAAACAAGCTAATAGGTCAACTGTTACTGGCAGAAAGGAAAGAGACAGACCTTGAGAAGCTTCTGATTAGGGAAGCGCATGGTGGTCCAGCTACATTGATTAAAAGGGTGGTGGTTTGGGTCTAACTTAAGCTGACCTCCCACTAACTTTGTGCTAATGGAGCAAGAGGCTTTGGCTTGTCTAAGTTTTGAAAATGCCTATACTCTCTCTCCTCTGATACTATAGAGTAGTTTGTGATTCTAATGTTATTAGACATTCTGTTAAAAAAAAAACCACACAAAAACAAACAAAAAAACAAACAACAACACAGGCATGCTATTATTAATAAGGAGAGATGTTTCGAGTACTCGCCAATAAATTAATCGTGGAGATGTTCTGAATGGAAGTAATTTTATGTCTATGATCTTGAATATCTTTACGCTTCAGAAAATCATTTAAGCTAAAAGACTTAGCGACCAGAGTCGACCTCTGAACATCAGCCTTGAGCCTCACTGACAAAGGCTTGGCAATGCTTCTGCTTTCTGAATCCTCCCTCCTGACCCTCCACCCCGATACAGTAAAAAGATGTCAACCGATTTCCAACCACACTCAGTTACAACTGGCAATGGGCTTAAAATTTTGTTCTGTCAAGAAAAGTAAAATTAGATCTTCTTATATAGAAAAGGGGTTTTCTTTCATCAGTACCAAAAGAGGAATGAAATGTCTTTTTAACAAGAATAAATAACTGTAGGCATCTGAGCTCCAGCAGGAGTCCAACCAGGTCACTGGGCATTTCCCCTAGCCCCCAGAAAAGGAGCATTTTCTGTGCCGGCCGATTTTGAAGGGCTGACTGATGCTTGGCCAAGAGCAGAGACCTCTGGCAGGCTCTGGGCTCTAGGCTCAGGGGAGCCGGCCAGAGGACACCTCCCCGCCAAGGCCACCCTCTGCATGAGCCGGAGGACACAGGCTGCTGCGATCTCTTCTAGTCCACGTTTTCTCTCCCTCTCTACATCGCTCTTACCCATCCCCAGACTCTCTTCTAGAGGTAGAGGGACCTACCTTCAGAGAAGCCCTGGAGCTCTCAGGTACCCCGTTTCCATATTTCCCCGAGATGATGCCGCAGGCCAGTGGAGACCAGGTCATTGCTCCAACTCCTGCAGAAGAAAAACAACTTGAAAAGCTGCTGGTGGTGAACGGGGATCAAGAGCATGGGGGTGTTTAAGCAGGATTGGTTAGCAATGGGAAAAAGCCTGACACATGAAAAGAGTTCACACCAGCATACATTTTTCTATTAACATGTAGGCATTTACAAGTTGCACTTTATTTTTATGAGCCAATTAAACGTGCACAGTCATAGGGAGTGGACCATATAAACAAGCCTGAAACTGTGGTTTATTCATGGCCAAATGTCACACTTATTTTTACTCAGGCACAAATACTTTTACTTGCAAGGAAATTCGGTGCTTTGCTTGTCCACTCAGTGACTAGATAGTGCCTGGTATGTACCAGATGCACAATTCCCAGTGCCTGGTAAACACACAATGAGTGACAGCAATAATAACAATCGTTTTTGTTGGCCTTTTTTTTTTTTTTTTTTTTAATCCTTCTTCCCCTACCCAGCATTTTCCTGCTCATGTGAACCTCTGTTTTTTAGGAAGATATCATGTTTCCCCGAAAATAAGACATCCTCCAAAAATAAGACCTAGCGCATGGAAAGATAAGACATCCCCTGAAATAAGACCTAGAGAAAAAAATTAATATAAGACATTGTCTTATTTTTGGGGAAACAGGGGTAGTTATCTCTGGAAACTTTTAAAAAATAAATATGTAAATAACCCTGAAAATGTGGCTTATTCAAGCTTTTCTGGTTCCTACAATTTTTGTGTATATGTTGTGCATATATTTTCCTCCTCTCATTGACATCATTATGTCTACCTACACAAACATGCAGTGCCTGGTTTGTGAGTTGTCCTTGAATTCTATGCCTGACTTGGTTTCAGGCACAAAGTGGGAGATATATACGTATATGTCCATAATCTTCTGGAAAGGCGGTCATAATCTTCTCAAGGATGCTTGCTTTGGCCACAGCAAGCACCCCATGAAAAATGAGTCTATTCATGGGTTTCTTCCCTGCATTCTGTATGCATTTTTCGAACACCCACTGAGTGTAGTTTATATGCCAGTCACAATTTGCACCTCTACCTTAGCTATCCCGCAGACTACATAAAGGCACACTGGATTCTTCTATAGTCTCTGGAATGCATAGCTCTTATTATGTTAATAAGGGACATTTAGGGAAGCATTTTAATATTTCTCCCCCACCCCCCAGGTCATGGGGCCTACTGTTGTTAAAAATAATCAGCAAATTTGATTGTGATTGTAGAGATTACCTATTTTATGGTAGAGCTCTGGTAGCTGAACCTCCACTTTCTCTCTCTGGAAAAGATGGTACTCAGCTTGTTCACACACTGGAGGGATCATATTGAACTGTCTTGCTACAGAGTAGGCTTCCTAGGGAGAAATAAGATTGCAACTGGATTTATGCTGATGAGAAACAAGACTGCCCTGTGATTCTATGCATGAGAAATTTTCATTTTAGTAAAATCAATACAAACCAAAAAGCATGGAGGATGACATACAATAGGTAAAGTTATGACCATCAATTTCACTAAGAGCAATACCAAACACAAGAAATCCTTATTATTCTTTGGGAGGGTTTAGACCGAGTAAAACCCAGGGCAAATTAGTCCCAGTGTAAATTATGGATGACAATAAAGAAAATGTAGTTTGACTATTTTTAGAGTCCATGAAATGAAACAGACAGTATCTACAGGTGATCTTTAATTAGCATGTGCTAAACAGTATAGTCATTTAATAGAATTTTTAAAAGAAAACTGGAATATTGTGTTCTCATTAGCTAAGAAATTCAATTTATTCTCTTGCTGCCAAAGACATGCTAAAACGCATTTCCTGTTAGACTTGCAGACACTCCTTGTTGTGTTGAGCTGATGAGTTCCAGCCCTCACATCCCTCTCTGTAATGAGGGATTGACCAGAGAATTCTGATGCCACAGTGATTGTGAGGAAAGATTGCAAGAGGTCTTGCAGTTTACACATAGCATCTGAGAAACAGCACATGCATACCTCAGAGATATTGCAGGCTTAGTTCCAGACCACTGCAATAAAGTGAATATTGTAATAAGGTGAGTCATACGAATTTTTTTGCTTCCCAGTGCATATAAAAGTTATGGTCATACTATAATGTAGTCCTGCAATTTCTAACCTTTTTCATCTCATGGCACAGATAAACTAATTACTAAAATTTTGCTGTACATCAAAAACATATTTTTGTCACTCTTACCAAAAATAGATATAATTTTGATTCATTCACACTGGATGGCTATTATTATGCTGGCTATTGTCATTTTTTTTTTAACAACCTAAGAGAAAAGAGGTCAGTGCCCCTGACTAAGTAGTCAGGTTTTGCATATTTTAAACATTCTTGTGGCATACTGGTTGAAAATCACTTCTGTAGTCTATTAAGTGTGCAATAGCATTATGTCTAAAAAAAAAAAATCAATGTACATATCTTAATTAAAAAATACTTTACTGCTAAAAATGGTGACTATCATCTGAGTCTTCAGCTTGCAAGAGGTAACTTTTTTGCTGGTGGAGGGTAACATCAGTGATTGCTGATCACAGATCACCATAACAAATCCTATATAATAAAAGCTGAACATGCAAATATACTGATGGGTGGAACCACCAGCAGAATGACTGGTTGCAATGATGCGCACTGACCACCAGGGGGCAGACACTCAATTCAGAAGTTGCCTCCTGTTTGCAGGCCCCAGAATCCACAGATCAGCCCTGAGCGCTGGCCAGGCTTAGGGACCTTACCCATGCATGAATTCTGTGCACCGGGACTCTAGGATAACAATAATGAAAAATTTGAAATATTGTGAGAATTACCAAAATGTGACACAGAGACAGAAAGTGAGCAATGCTATTAGAAAACTGGCATTAAGAAACTTACTCCATGGAGGGTTGCCACAAGACTTCAATTTGTAAAAAATTCAGTATGTGTGAAGAACAGTAAAGTGCAATAATAACTGTCATAAGATGCTCAATGGCCATTTAATAAAAACAGACATGAACTTACCATGATCTCCATAGCGCTCCACCTCGAGGTTCCCCAGTACATCGCCATGCCCTGGTTAATCACGTGTGTCATGGCTCGGACAATTTCTGTGGAAGGCCAAATATCATGAGTTTTTTTATTTTTCCAAGTTATATGGTCTTTGGGTGTTCTTTCCCCCCTCTGTCTAAAGCTTAGAAGTTTAATCCAAGTATTAGTTTGATTAATATAATTGCTTTGACATTGATGACAACATAATAGTCTACCATGAAATATTGATAATGTGGAGGCTGATGGTACTTTGGGGCAAATTGACTTTTCATTTCCATTTGCAGCCATCACACTAAATGATATTAAGAACCTAATGAGCACTTTAAGTTCTTCCTTGACTTTTATTGCTTCATGGTTCCTGACCTGATGAAAGAACAAATGATTCACCTCCTTTAGAACCTGGGTACTCTGCTCACCAAAGTGAGAAGTAAGAGAAAGCATTTGTTTTGGCTTTGTAGACTGTAAGGTCACGGAGGAGAGAAGGCCTGCCTCTGTATGCTGGATTTGCAGAGCTGGGCCTCACACAGGGTGGTGGTATAATAGAGATGACTCAACAGCAATGTATTTAGCGGAAAGATAAACATATTAAATGCTGAGCAAACAGCTGAAGCCGCAGTGGCTCCTAGCCCACAATGGCACTCCTTGTTCTTAATCCCTTTGAACCAAACTTTATTCTAAGAGTAATGAATTTTCCTGAGGGAGGTGGGGGAGGGGAGGAGAATAAGGGAGGGCGGGGAAGAGGAGGTTGGGGGGGAGCTGTTTGCTCATCTGCCTCTCTCAGCCTGACATTACATTTCCTAAACTGGACAATGAATCACTTTGCCAGGGAGGAGGAGCCAAGTTAATCCTCTTGGCACCAGCCAGAAGCAGGGAGCATGCAGAGCCTCCAGTTCAACTGAGTGAAAAGTCACAATCGCGGTTGGATTTCTTCTACAGAGCAGGTCAGCCCAGGATGCTACATCAACTGGCATTTTCAAGGGGCTGCAGACTTTAGCTTCTCTGTGTCCCACTGATACCTGTGGGTTAAACGTCCTTCAAAAGAATCAAAGTCGAGTTGAGGTGGATGTATTCTTATTTCTCATAAACAGCACTGTCTAAATTGGTAGGGGACAGGATTTTGAATGAGGCAGCAGGATTAGGGTCTTAGCTTCCTTGCTTGGTTTATGTAAACCATTTTAAATTGCCCTTGGTGTCTTTCTTTGGAAGAAGGGAAAGCTTTTATTCGCCATTTCTAACCAATGGAGGTAGAATTTGGCTTATAAGCTAAACTAACTCAGCAACGGACATTAGGAAGTTTATTCTTCCTTTATAAAGCAAAAGTGATACAGAACATTTTTCTTTTATTATGCAAATAGAACGATAGACATTTCTGAAGGTTGAAGGCATTTTTAAAATTTCTGCCCCAGAAGTATTCACAGTTTTGACAACACCATCAGCATACCACTCCCTTTCCTTCCCCATCATGTTCCATTCAGAGTTTAGGAGTTCATTCAATCAACAGTGTTTATTAAGTTTCTGCAGAGCTGGGTGCTGGGGATACTGTGGTGAAACAGAGAGGTTCACAGAGAATAAAATGAACCCTACAGACTTTCTCCTGTCTCTAGTTCACAATTAGTGAGATGATCACAGAATTCTGCGTGGCTTGGCCACAGGGCCATTACTGAGACCTTGACCAGAGCAGTTAAGGTGGAGTGGAGGCTGTGAGTACCTTTATTCACTTAATACACAGGATTAAAAGCCTAATAATTGCCAGGTACTGTGCCAATTGCTGGATTCATCTCTGTGTACAACATACAAGCCTCCTATATTCAGGGAGTTGAGTCCAGTGGGGAAAATGAAGATGTAAAAAAGTAAGTAATTACAAAATTTGAAGTGTTATAAAGTAAACAAATAGCAGGCAGATATAGAGAAGGGAGGAAAGACCTATTTGGTTAGGCAAGGAAGGTCTTCCTGAGGAGTGTAGACTTGAAAAATAAAAAGAAGCCAGCTTTGGTAAGGACAGGGGAAGCACAATCTCTAGGCAAATGGAACAGCATGTGCAAAGGCCCCGAGGCACAACTTAGCGAGTTCAGCAACCAGAAGGAAGCCATTGCAGCAGGATTTAGTAAGAAAACAGGACAGATATACAAGATGAAGTTGGCAGAGGGAAAACTATATTATTTGTATGTTATTCAAAGCTTAATGGGAAACCATTAACATTTTTTAGGTAAGGGAATAACAGGATGTGTTTGTTTCATAATGCTATCCCTGACTGCGCATGGAGAATCCCAGGGGGAGGATTGCAGGAAGCAGGAAGATCTGCAGGCAGGTATTGCAGTATTCCAGACAGGAGATGAGGATGGCTTGGATTAGGGTGGCAGAATAGAGAAATGGATGGATTCAAATATTTTTCAGAGGAAGAATCCATTAAGACTTGTAGAAGGACTGAATGCGGCAGGTAAGGAAAAGGTAGGAATCAAGGCAATGTCATAGATATCTGGCCACTTAAGAGTGAAGGAGACTGAGGGAGAAACAGGTTTGTTTTTCTTGGGGAGTGGGGGTGGGGGAAATCAATGTTTCCTCGTTGAACATGCAAAAAATGGAAATGGCCTGTGACATATTAAAGGAGAGATATTGTATAGAGAAAATTGAATGAATGACATAGTAAGCAACATGGGCTGGAGGTGATATATTTATTAATTACTTGTCTATTACGCATACTTAGATTCATGGAATTAGGTGAGACTGCAGGGAATCTGCAGAGGGAAGAGAGAAGATGTTTTAAGAGCCAGCCCAGAGGTTGGAGATAGGACACGGTGGTGTCAGGGTCATCAGCAAACAGAGGGGTAGGAAGGAAGCTGGGGGGGGGGGTGTGGGGAGAAGGGAGGGAACTGTTTCAGAATCAAGAGCAGGGAGTGCTCCAAGAAGGAGCTGTGCCAACACCCTGGAACACCATGAGCATGTAAGTCCAAAGGGCCCCTAACAGTGTCCACTGGGTTTGGCCACATGACAGGGGGAGGTCATTGTGGAGCATGAGAAGAGCAGCTTCATTGTCGGTGGTGTGATAAGACCAAGGCCGAACTGTAGCTGATGGGAAGCATGGGCGTGGGAATGGGAAGACTTGAGAGACAACCTGGGTAGGCTGAGTTTGGAAGTGAACAGAACAAAAAGGGCAGTAGCTGAAGAGGCCCTTAAGGTCAAAGGAGAGTTTTATTTTTATTTAAAAAACATTTTTATTGATTTCAGAGAGGAAGGGAGAAGGAAAGAGAGAAATATCAATGATGAGAGAGAATTATTGACTGGCTGCCTCCTGCTCACCCCCTACTGGGGCTCAAGCCTGCAACCAGGGCATGTGCCCTGACCAGGAATTGAACCGTGACCTCCTGGTTTATAGGTTCATGCTTAACCATGAACCACGTTGGCCAGATGAAAGTTTTATTTTAAAGATGGGCTATATAAGAGTAAGCTTGTACGATGTTGGAAGTGATCTAAAAGGAGGAGTTATTGATGATATGGGTTGGGGGTTGGGGGAAAAAGAAGGGAGAGGGAGACTTGTTAAAGTGAGATGGAACGGGGCAATGTCGGGTGGGAAGGACATGCCCATCAACACAGTGGAATCCAGGAGGTTTGTAGAACTCATCATGGAAGACATGGGAGCTCCTGTTGATGAATTCTATTCTCAATGACTTATCAGTCAAGTGAAAAAGAGGTGGGTGTGAGAAGTGAGGGAAAGGAGAGAACAAATAGCTCTGAGTGTGGAAGAGCCTACGAAGATACTCCAATGTCCCAGCACTAAAGTTGCTGGTAATTTATTTCTCCCTGATTCGTTTGGCCCTTGACTCCACAGAGACAAGGTCGATGGAATATTGAAAGGAGAACACCAGGAGTCCTTTTTTTCTTTGTCAGAAGCAAAATCCTTATCTTTGAGGACAGTCTATAATGGAAACAGTACTGCAAGATGTGAAGTTAAGTTTGACTCAATGAAGTATAACAATTTTAAAAAGAGCCGAAGGACAACAAAAATTGTAAAAATGGACCACATGAACAGAGCTAGCTTTCTCTTTTCTTTCCATTTTGCCTTTATTGGATGAAGGCACTTCCCACCAAGTTTGGAGAACAAGAATGTCTTTAGAACCACATGGACTGATAATATCACCAATTGCTCCTGTAATCGTCCCTACAAATAATTTAACAATAAAATGTATAGAAAGAGAGAAGGACCAGGGCTCTACTTTTCTTTTCTTTTCTTTCTTTCTTTTTTTTCCCCCCTACTTTTCAGTTGAATTGCATTTGTAGTAAAAGCTTTAATCCAGGAGTTCTTATCTTGGAGGAGGTTGCAGGGAGGAATTATGGGAGAACCTATAGGCCACAGGTGGAGATTCATGTTGCCAGGAAATAAAATTTAATTTAATATACATTAAAATTTCTTTTTAATGTCAGAGAAAAATCCCCCAAGTGTTGAGCTAACAGGGATCACCATACTGATGGCTGAGGTGGATTTTTATGTTATTCGACTACTTAAGGACACTAGAGGGCAGCATTGTTAAGAACAAAAATTGAGTCTGCTGTTTTGTGTATCATGGAAATGCATTTTAAAAGCATCTGGTCAGGGCATGGATTCTGAGTGGGGAGAAAGACATTAGGAAGACCATTTAGTGCATTGCATTCACCTCCTTCTTGCAAAGAACGCACAGACAGACTTATTCAATCTGACAATCCAGGACTGATTGTGACCACTTTGCTCTTCCAGGAATCCTTAGCTCCGTGGTTCTCAACCATGACTGCCCTATCTGGGCTCAAAATGACACTATCTGGGCTCCACAGAAGTCCTATTATATCAGATCTCTGGGTGAGGCCTGGCATCAACACTTTAAAACCCCTCCTGGAGGATTCTGGTGTGCAGGTGTGGAACCTTCTACTGGTCCACACCAGTGCTACCAAAGTGTGGCAGCATCAGCAGCCCCTGGGAACCCATAGAGAGACGTTCCTAGGGTCTTACTCCAGACCTACTAAATTATAAAATCTGGGGGTGGATAGGGACTAGCAGTCGGTGTTTTAACCAGCACCCCAAGCAATTCTG